CAGACTGTAAAGGATAACTCGGCTGTAGGCGAAGTGTGAGGCGTGTGTGTAGTGGTACAGGGAGAGAGGGAGGGAGAGAAAGCTATTGAAGGTGTGAGGGGAAAAGAAGGCATGTAGGGAAGGAGAGACGAATGTAGGGAAAGAGAGAGAGAGAGAGGAATGTAGGGAGGGGGAGAGGGATGGAAGGAGAGAAATATACGGAGGGAGGCACTGAGGATTGGCGAAATTGGAAGACATGTATATGCATGTGTAATAAAGGGGTCAAAGTCAAAATGTTGTTGACGCTCATACACTGGACAGCAGAACCTTTCCCAACAACATATTAGATTGATATGAACCTTATTTGCACGTGTTATTCCCCACTTTTCAAAAACCAATTTTAATTATTATTGGGGTCCATTACGTCTGTCAGTGGCATATCATTTTATGCTGCAAGAGGACGGAGCGAGATAACTACAAATGGCATGCTGCACATTTGAGGGAGTGATTTTCAAACGGCAAAATGCGTTTGAAAATCTGAGCCCCAAAAAAACTGCAGAATGCTTTATACATTTGAATTAAATATGTTAACTAAATAATGATATTTTAATTTGTATAGGGAAAGCAATGTTTACCTTACTACTTAGGTACACACACCATAAGTAATGAGATGCGATATATTATAAAACAGGGACTTAAGCCCAGTAGTTAACACAGTTGACACAAACTATTGATCTGAGAAAGTGTTGTCGTGCCTCACACACACACACACACACACACACACACACACACACACACACACACACACACACACACACACACACACACACACACACACACACGGGAGTGTTGCCGTGCCCCACACACTTCCCGGGAGGACAAGGCGCCCAGGGACCTCGGCAAATTGTACCGGAGTCGTCAAACCTCACCTGGCGCACCACTACATGGACGACCAGACACGGAGAGCTAAGCTTCTGGACGCGGCAATAAGAAATTTTCTAAGCCAACACATCAAGGAACCAACAAGAATGAGGGGGGAAGATAAACCATCCATGCTTGATCTGATATTTACTCTAAATGAGTGGGATATGAGGGAAGTTATGTTGGAAGCGCCCTTGGGAATGAGTGATCACAGTGTATTGATCTTTGAGTACCTGGTAGAGTTAGGATTTATCTTCAATAAAAGAACTAGGAAACAAAAGGGCTGGCATAACGAAAGGGGAATTATGAGACGAGAAGTTTCCTAAGGGATATACCATGGGACAACTCAGAGCTAAGTCCATACAAGACATGATGGACTATGCACCCAAAAGTGTCAGGAGGTGGTAAACAGGTTCATCCCGGCCCAAATGTTAAAAACCGAGAAGCAAATGAAGAATCCGTGGTTTAATAGGGCATGTATGGAAGCAAAGGAACTGAACAAAAGGGCGTGGAGGAACTTCCGTAATAACAGAACACCAGAGCAGAGAGATATACCAGAGAACCAGGAATGAGTATGTTAGAGTGAGAAGAGAAGCAGAGAAAATGTATGAAAATGTTATAGCAAATAAAGCTAAGACCGAACCAAAGCTACTCCACATTCACATCAGGAGGAAAACAACAGTGAAAGAACAGGTGATGAAACTTAGAACGGGTGAAGACATGTATACAGAGAATGACAAAGAGGTGTGTGAAAAACTCAACAAGAGGTTCCAGGAGATCTTCACAACAGAACGAGGTGAGGTCAATGCGCTAGAAGAGGTGGCAGTAAACCAGGCGGCCTTGGATGGGTTCGAAATTACAAGAGATAAGGTTAAGAGACACTTGTTGGATCTGGATGTGAGAAAATCTGTTGGTCCAGACGGGATCTCACCATGGGTATTGAAAGAGAGTGCAGAGGCACTTTGCTTGCCACTCTCTATAGTGTATAGTAGGTCACGGGAGACCTACCAGAAATATGGAAGACGGCTAATGTAGTCGCAACATACAAAAAAATGGGTGATAGGCAAGAAGCACTGAACTACAGGCCAGTGTCCATAACTTGTATACCATGCAAGGTGATGGAGAAGATCGTGAGAAAAACTAGTAACACATCTGGAGAGAAGGGACTTCGTGACAAACCACCAACATGGGTTCAGGGAGGGTAAATTTTGCCTCACTGGCTTAATAGAATTCTACGATCAGGTGACAAAGATTAAGCAATAAAGAGAAGGATGGGAGGACTGCATTTTCTTGGACTGCCGGAAAGCCTTTGACACAGTACCCCATAAGAGGCTGGTACACAAGCTGGAGAAACAGGCAAGAATAACTGATAACGTATTCCAGTGGATAAGGGAGTGCCTTAGCAATAGGAAGCAGAGCTACAGTGAGGGGTGAGACCTCAGATTGGCGTGAAGTCACCAGTGGAGTCCCACAGGGCTCTGTACTCTGACCTATCCTGTTTCTGATTTACGTGAATGATCTCCCAGAGGGTATAGACTCATTCCTCTCAATGTTTGCTGACGATGCCAAAATTATGAAAAGGATTAAGACAGGAGGACTGCTTGAGGTTTCAAGAAGACCTTGCCAAACTGAAGGAATGGTCGAACAAATGGTTTTTAGAGTTTAACCCAAGCAAATGTAATGTAATAAAGATAGGTGTAGGTAGCAGGAGGCCAGATACAAGGTGTCATTTGGGATATGAAATTCAAGAGTCAGAGAGAGAAAGACTTGGGGGGTTGATATCATGCCAGACCTGTCCCCTGAAGCCCATATCAAGAGAATAACATCAGCGGCATATGCCAGGTTAGCCAAAAACGGCCTTTGGAAACTTGAGTAAGGAATCATTCATAACTTTGTATACCACAAATGTCAGGCTAATCCTGGAGTATGCAGCTCCAGCATGGAGTCCATAGCTAGTCAAGCATAAGACTAAACTGGGAAAAAGTTCAAAGGTTTGCTACCAGACTAGTACCCGAACTGAGGGGTATGAGCTACGAGGAGAGACTAAGGGAATTAAACGTCACGTCGCTGGAAGACAGAAGAGTTAGGGGAAAACATGATCACCACATACAAGATTCTCAAAGGAATTGATAGAGGTAGAAAAAGACAGGCTACTTAACACAAGGGGCACACGCACTAGGGGACACAGGTGGAAAGTGAGTGCCCAAATGAGCCACAGAGATATTAGAAAGAACTTTTTTTAGTGTCATAGTAGTTGACAAATGGAATGCATTAGGAAGTGATGTGGTGGAGGCTGACTCCATACACAGTTTCAAATGTAGATATGACAGAGCCCAATAGGCTCAGGAACTTATACATCAGTTGATTGACAGTTGAGAGGCGGGACCAAAAAGCCAGAGCTCAACCCCCGCAAGTACAACTAGGCGAGTACAACCCACCTAGCGCACCACTACACAGCTCTTAAACTTCTCTCTTACCGACTAGGCCATCGGCGGAGGAAGATAGGAGGGTGTGGAGTACAATGGGTGTGGCACCATGTATGTGGCACTGTGGGTGTGTGGCACCATGGATGGAGTCGGGTGAAGATCCCCCCCACCCCCAATCCCCTCCCTACTTTTCCAGGTGTCCCTGCTGCTGGTGTTCCGGGGGGGGGGGGATCATTTGCCACTACACCAATCATTTCTACACAATCCATTCTTTCGCCACTCTGACTCTTCCGTTCTTCTTCGTCCATTCACTTTATCCTTTATTTTTGTCGTCTCCCCCACACCTCTTACCCCGTCTCCAACCCTAACATCCCCCCCCTCTCTATCCCCAACTCCTCCCTCTCCCCACTTACACATCTACCTCGCCCCTCCTCCATCACTCTCCCCCCCCCCCTCACTACCGTCTCTCCCTCCAGTAGCTCACTGTCACCACCATGCCAGTCTTGGCACTTAACGTGTTGCCAAAACAAACTTCTGACAGGCACTAATCACGGCTGAAATGCCAGATCCAAACCCACAATGCGAGTCAGTAAATTAGAGCTGTGAAAAGGGAAGGGAAGGGAGCGAGGAATCGAAATAGAAGTGATGATCATCTGCTCCGGTAAATTAGGTGGGCGGCGTAGCTTCTAACGCTTCTGGGTCGGTTCAACCGTTACATCTTATACAGAACGGTAAGCTAAAGGGGCTAAAATATTTACTACCTGACTGGAGACCGATAAAGGTTAGCACATTACTCCTCAGGTTATCTTGGCGTTATCGTGAGATGATTTCGGGACTTTTTTTTTTTTTTAGTGTCCCCGCGGCCCGGTCCTCGACCAGGCCTCCACCCCCTGGAAGCAGCCCGCGACAGCTGACTAACACCCAGGTACCTATTTTACTGCTAGGTAACAGGGGCATAGGGTGAAACTCGGCCCATTGTTTCTCACCGGCGCCTGGGATCGAACCCAGGACCACAGGATCACAAGTCCAGCGTGCTGTCCGCTCGGCCAACCGGCTCGGGTGTCATATTTGTCACATACTGACCGGGTTCAACACACCACCACCACTTTAGCAGGCCTCATGCTGCGGCTCTAGACACAAGCCCATAACCCTGTCCCTGTGTGCATAAGCATACGAGGACAACAGTTTCAAGTGTAGATATGATAGAGTCCAATAGGCTCGGGAACCTGTACACCAGTTGATTGACAGTTGAGAGGCGGGACCAAAGAGCCAGAGCTCAACCCCCCCGCAAGCACAAATAGGTGAATAGGTGGGCGAGTACCACCGCCCATACCCTCACCCCAACCAACCACCACCTGCACACTTAGCGAACGTAAGTGTGAAGAAAAGAATCAATATATATACACAAGCGTATTCATACAAAATTTTCAAATGCCACTTACATCCTTTTTCAAGGTAGTGTAAACAATGTCCTGAACATTGTTTACAGCATCTTGAGAAAGGACGTGGGCTGCATCCGAAAATTTTGGTTTGAATAATACACTTACAAGCGCAGTGGGTCTTGGCTTCATTATTCAACACTACGGCATTGTAACAAGTTTCTCAAGTGTAAGTATGTTGTGCAAACAAAACTGAAATAATGATATTAATGGAAATAACACAAAATGAACTTACTTTTTAAGGACCAGGGATGACGGGCTACATAACTGCTGGGACAGGGGCTTACGGTCGACGGGACAGCTCTGTTGTACCGTCAGGAAGGACAGGAGGCACGGACGGCAGAAGGTGTGGCCACAGGGCGTGTCGAGGGGCGTCACCAGCGGCTGTGGGAGGAGGAGAGGTCACGGGTCAGAGGTCACGGGTTCAATCACTAATTATACACCTTACAATCTCAACAGCCAAACTATTCTCACACTTAATGTACTGAAATTTTTGAGGCTTTAGATCACAAACGTCAAAATTTTGGTGCTTTAAGGAAACTAAAAACCACCACCATAGTGACGCGGTACTGGTCGCTTGTTACCGTCACGTGACGCCGTAGCGAAAAGAATGAGAGGTGATCTTAAGTGCAACCTTCGGAGTCTCTTTCCTGAATACGGAGTATCTCGTATTTGAACCATGAGTCGAGCGAGGGAGCCGGTGGCTGAGCGGACAGAACACTGGACGCATGATCCTGTGGTCCCGAGTTCGATCCTGGGACCAGAGGATCACGCAATAAAAAATGGGCAGAGTTTTTGTCACCCTGAAGCCCCTGTTACCTAGCAGTAAATAGGTACCTGGGAGTTAGTCAGCTGTCACGGGCTGTTTCCTGGGTGTGGAGACCTGGTTGAGGACCGGGCCGCGGGGACACTAAACCCCGATATCATCTCAAGATAACCTCAAGAAGATGGTTCAGCCGCTTCAACCCGTCCTCTCGCTTGTATACGTCGAATTGTTTACGAAACCGATCTATCCGTTATAAATGCGATTTGTTATTGAAAATTAAAACACTGTAAATATTGATATTTTCTATACGTGGATCGCGATAGGTTAGGTGGGTTACTCGGGTATGTACGTTCACTACGACCTGTCTTTTCGCATACACAGCATTTTGACGTCAAAATCCCCCAACGGATAAATAAAGTGGTACTATAATATCACAGCGGCTCACAAATATTCACGTTTTCTATACGTGGTCGATAGGTTAGGTTAAGTTAGAGCTGCTGCTGCTGTTATAGATTCAGCTACTCGGAACAAGTTCCAAGTAGCACGGGCTATGGTGAGCCCGTAGTGGACTTACCTGGCATAGGAGCGGTGCCGTCTTAAGTTAGAGCGTTTTAGTAGACCATTTTCTGAGAGGACTATACGGGTTGGACTATACTATTTTCTATACGGGTTGTACAGTAAGGCAAGACAGTTGCATAATTTACAGTGTTGAGAGGACGGGGCTGGTGTCCCAATACACAAGTTGCCGCTTGAAATGAGCTCTTAAGTGCACCATCAAAGGCTGGAATGGCACTACTAAACCTTCACTAAAGCTGCTATCTCTACTACCAATCCTAATCATTACTAGAGTAATAGCTCCTAACCTGAAGCCTCGCCACTTAATATGTATCACCCCGACGCCATAAGCACCATTAACACCACACTTCAACACCATCTTCACTACACCAAATGTACAAATACCATTGCATGTGTAACACCACTGAAGAACTAGTTATTCCACAACCTATTACTGCTGCACATACACTAGCACCACTACACATACACTCTCTTCGTGTACTTCGTATGCTTCCCTCATAGCAAGTAGGCCTACGTATATCCTATATCAACTACCAAAATTCTGTACCGATTAATACAGCACTACCACCAGGCCATAATTACAACCTCAACTATACAAGCCAACTTTTCACCACACAAATGTTTTCTCAAATTGATGATTTTCTCTATTAAAGACAAATGTGATTTCTCTTTTAGCTACGCCGTTCTACCTGTACAAGGGAAGTCCTCCGCTTTGTTTCAGAGTTAAAACTATAGGAATATATAACAATTACACCACAGTAGACTTGTACTACATATCAGTGAGAGAGAAGCCGCGTTATTAGTCAACTTGAATAATGGACATAAATAAATGGTACACATTAGCATAACTGTTCCAAAAATTGTGTGCACGACAACATGAACAAATAGGGTTGGTAGATGAGCAGAAATTGTGCTGTTCTCTATATTCTTTGCATTTTCAGCGCCACAAATGTGGCCTTCAAATTTGTGTACACACTTGTTATAGGCAAGAAAAATTGTTCAAGGGATATTTAGAGTTTGGTGATAATAGGAAACTCTTATAAATTTTTTAATGAAATTTTTAGCATGTGTAAATAATACACCTAAACAGCTGTATACACCCTACTACACAAGCATGGGTTGTATCCCATACTCTGTACACTAGAGAAAGGTGTATGCCTTTCCATTGGAGACTTTCAGCGCCGTGGAGAGGGGGGACCTGCTGCCTGGGTAACAGCTTCTTCCCCGAATCAACCTACCCTGGCTTTGCGCCCTGGTGAGGCCACTCCAGACCAGGCCGACGCCAGTGCGCAGGTCTATAGTGTCCTGAGACTGATGGATAGAGAAACATACAGCTGTAGAGAGACTGACCTGGAGACAAATGTGGCAGGTGACATCTTCGTCAACGTCGTCGATGTAGTCGTACAGGTGCGGCTCGTGCGGCTGGTGTTGCTGGCCGCAGGTGCGACAGGTGCGGCGCCGGCCACTCCTGACGGAGCCCAGGGCCACCCCTCCGTCGTCGCTCTCCTCCATACTGGCGCCCCCACTACTCTACACCGCCCCCATCACTCCTGCAGAGACAACCACACAAAAACATGCATTAATATCTATGTATTAATATCTGGAAATTACAAATCACGCCAAATACATAACTGATGATGATCATGCTCATGACGATTAATTGGCGTTGTAATTAACGTGATAATTATGATTGATAATTGATGACGTCTCCTAACAGGGAATGTGTGTTATATGTCTGAGGAAGGTTTTCAAAAAATCTTGTCAAGCTGTAACTCTGTTAACGCTCCATTCTTTTCCCTCCGACCTCCTGGCCTGTCTGCTCCATGGAATGTACAGAAAATAGAAGTCGAAATTGTACCCCTCAAGATGAAAAAGATTCAGCATGAACCGGGACAGTTACGGTGTGTATGGAAGCATGATATCTGGGTTACCAAGAGGCAATAGTTTACATGTATATTGTGACGGGTCGGTGGCGGAGGATAGCAGGGCAGGGTGTGGTGGCCTAATATGGGGAATATACTGAGTTTGGAACTGTGGACAGGACAATTGAACTTCTACTTAGTAATTAAGTATCATCCACACAAACTGAACTGCAGGCCATTCTGGCTGCATTTCTAGAATGGTTCTTCTGCACTTACAGTCACATACACGTTTGGAGGAAGTACGTCAAGACGAAAAAGATGTTTTTTGTATTTGTCAATAGCCGAGGAGCATTTGATTCCTTAATCAGTCGAAATCCAATTTTCATGTCCATAGTTGAGGATTGTAAACAAAAAAGGATAGATGAAATACAGCTGAAAGGTCACAAAGTAAAATTCATGTAGATTCCATCTCATGTTGGACCAGTGGTCAACGAGGTGGCGGATGACCTGGCCAAACGTGCCACATCAAAACCACAAGTTGACATTGAATGTGTTTTAACAATGAGACAAATAAGAACCAAAATTATAAATATTCAGGCACAGCCAGAAGTGGCGAGGAGAGGTATAATGTACAAGGGAAGTCAAACCATACAACACTACAGGTGTGTGCGAGTCAAAACACCCAATTTTACTTATGGTAAAAGGAGAAATGCTTGGAGTGACTGTGTACACATACGGCTCAGGCTTGGGTACAAATATTACTGGGAATATGGAGTAGGTGTTAATGAGATTGGAACGAAGTGTAAACTATGTGGTATATTAAGGTCTCACACATTATGTTCTTGATTGCCCGTTAATTAGCGCATATAGGAACACACAGACTGTTCCTGAACAAATAGCCTGGAATGTGTCACAACGGAAAGATTGACGGTTATTATGGAGATAAGAATTTTGCACCAAGATGTGATGTTTTGCACCAGCTAATTGTCCTTTACGTCTATGTACGATGGTCAACATAGTAACAAAAAGTACTACCTAAACAGGAGGATGGAATGAAATAATGGTATAAACTTAGTCAATCTTTATGTTTTGTACTGTCTGAAGCATGTTCATCTTGCAATAGACCAAAATTGGTGAGTGAAAGAAGGACTGAGGGAGGTACACAGGTGAGGGAAGAAAGGACACACACACAGGTGAGGGAGGGGAAAAAAAAAAACATTCGTTTACAGCCCCGCTCCTGAGCCAGTTAAGTCCACCACGGGCTCACCATAGCCTGTGCTGCTTGGAACTTTTTGTTCCGAGTGGCTGAATCTAAACCACCACCACCAGACAACAGAGCTGGGTGTGTCTGGGCGCTGCACTCAGGTCGGCATGAACAAACAAACAACCATCCAGCCGCCCCCCCCTCCTCCTCCTGATCACAACAAAGGCTCCAAGTGAGAGCCTCCCCCCATCAGCACACGTGAGGCCCGGCACCTCAAGTACACCAAGCACCGGATTACCGAAAATTTCTGTGTATAGTACTGGAACAACTGCGACTAAAGAGCACAGTAAAATATAGATGTAGTAACCAAGCTGTTCCTAGTGTGTTCTACACACTACTTTTATAATTTGCATCAAGTTAGCCTTGACAAACTTCAATTTTCGTTTATTCTATGCATGTGTTCCCCCAACATGTGCTCGAGAGGTCGAATGCTTGCTCGTAAGCCCCGCCTCTTGAACCATTAGCAGTTTAATCAAAGAACTTTGAAGTATTCCTTCCACTTATTACGTACGAGAACACGCCCTTAACCTCACCCCCGCCAATTCCCCCTTTGTTCGGTCATTGGGCTTGTCAGTAGAATACCAGAATTGAGGGCGTAACTGCATATACTTAACCCTCACCTTATTTATATATACCCACCCCTCCTCTATCCCCCCCCACTATCCACCACTACTCTACCTCCTCTATCCACCTAAATATATCTCACTTTGACTAAAAGGGATTTTCTGTTCTTAGAATTCCTTTAAACCTCCTAAGCAAACACTCACACACTAGTTAGTATTGGAGTAACACTCACACTCCCTTACAACACTGATTAGTAGTACACTCGCCCTTACAGCAAGGCTGTCAAGTGTACTCGGCGGATATACTTATCAGTAATGCGTGTGTCACTATAGTGAATGTCGACACACTGTTTTTATTCGTGTCGCCCTCTTCCCTTACCAACAGTATTACCCCGTCTCCATGTAGTCTCCCTTGTAGTCCCACCTGTATGTAGCTTCCCATCTTCTTTATCTGCCCCATCACCATCTTCCGTCTCCTCGTTACTCATCGATTTCATCACATACAGTGATTATCCCACCCAACTCGATTACTCATCCCCCCCCGTTTTGATATTCATTAACTCATACAGGTATATATGGAGGACGGTAAACCATGTAGACAAAACTCCTCGAAAGGTTTACCAAGTTCAAGTATGTTTATTGAGACAAGAAAATATACATCTCAAAGGGATAGAGTAGCTTGGGCTATTTCTACCCCCCCCCCCCCACACACACACACACAAAGGTTTACCATTGTATTGTAACTTGTGACTTCTCTTATTCTCTCTGCCCCCCCCCCCACCCCCCTGCACAACCGTAGACTATTCCTCTTAGGCTATATTATAGCCAAATATGTCGCCCCCTTAATCCTTGAACTCAATTTAGTGATTTAAGCCAATTTAGTGGTTTTCATTAAATTTAAGTATTTTGTAACAAGAGCTTTAAAGAAGGAAGGTTTCAACGTGAATTTTGGACGGGAATGTAACTTCCAACTATTAAATTATTATATAATTTAATTATATATAATTATATAAACAAGGCTATTAAATAATGATGGTTCAGCAAAACTATAGACGGGAATATACGACGCAGCAGCAGCAGGCTCAAGTGCTATAATAATATTTATTAAGAAGTGTTCAAAGGAGCGTGCGCGCGCGCGTGCGAAGGCCCTTCTTTGTCCCAGAGTGTTGTGTGTTTTTAGTGTACAAACACTTAAGATAGAGGAGACGTTCGTGGAACCCAGGAAATCCTGAATGACGTCGAGTCCATAGTGTTTACTGCCAGCCTGTGACGGCCACTGTGTGTCAAACTGTTTAACATGGTACACAGTACTGTTGAAGACATTTCCTTCTGCTTCAATATTACAGTGAACATTTTACACCAAACATAGTAGCAGCCGAAGATTCTTTGCTATTTACTTTTAGTGATTTGTATTTTTAAATATACTCATTTAAATACAAGCGACGATGTTTCGGTCCGTCCATGACCATTCTCAAGTCGATTGTGTTGACACAATCGACTTGAGAATGGTCCAGGACGGACCGAAACGTCGTCGTCCCTTTATTTTCTAGTGTGTAGTCTGGTCAACATACTTCAGCCACGTTATTGTGACTCATCGCCTACAAATACAAGCGAATATGGCGACATCGTTAATCTACTCATATCCCTCTTACGCCAGCTTTTATCATGGTTCATAAACGGTTTGAAATATTCTTTATATCATAAATCCCCCCCCCCCCATTGTCTACTTCACAATTATGTATTCCTGAATAAGGAAATAATTATAACTCCTTCAAATGTCACAGTGTCAACTTACAATAGGAAGCTTTCCCTTTATCAGTACACGTAAATTGTCTCAGTTACATGTAAATGTTACCAATTCTTAAGTTATGTATCGATGTCTTAAGTCAGTCTAGAGTTGACTGGCTTTATGTTACTTCTTGATTATTCAGATTGTCGGTGCAAGGAGTTCACGGTGCGGACTTAGGCAATGCATCCCGGCATGTATGTATATATATTTACGTCAAGAATGCATGAAACTGCAAAATGCAGACACTCCGGGGGACTGTTCGTAATCCTCTTTATGTGGGAGTGGGAGATAATTAGCGCATTCTTGGATATCACTCGATGGAAAAAGGGGGAAAGTTGGTGAGGTCACCAGGTTGAACCACCTTTTAATATTATGGAGCAAGACGCAGCAACACTATTTTTATTGTGGTGTTGCATTTGCACGGGATAACCCGCACTCCTGTCAAAGAAGTGTGTGTTGCCTCAAAGAACTTTTCCCCTCCCCCCCCCCTTCACACACACGCACGCACGCACGCAGCCTTCCTGCCCAACCCACCTATCTGTAAAAGCTTTTATTCCGCATTAAAACTAAAAACATCTCATCAAATTTGCTGCGCCATTGTTGCCCAAAACTCTCGCATCAAGAAGACCTCCACCCGCCATGGCCCTCCCCAGCTAAAATATATGAAATATAAAATTAAATCACTTTGTTAAAAGATAATTTCAAATGAATGATACGGGATTGCCAAAGACGGTGCTCATTTTGACACGGGCGGCTTACAACACTCCCGCTTCAGCTTCGTCTAGTTGTCGGGAAAACGTTTCCTAATCAACAGTGAAATTCCAGGTCAAAATATAAACAAATTAAACTTTTGTGAATAGTAGTAAATAACCATATATGGGTCTGGTTGTGTTTGTTGTTGTTAAAGATTCGCTACTTGGAACAAGCAGTTCTAAGTAGCACGGGCTATGGTGAGACCGTGGATATGGGTCTGGTTATTGTGTAATACGAGATATAAAGGAGGCGCCTGTCACATGAACCCCCCTTCCCCCCCCCCCCCTTCCCTCTGGGTTTTTCTCTCCAAACCCCCATTTCCTCTGGATACTTGGGGGGGGGGGGGAGACTGTATTTGAACGCTAAACACACTTCTCCGGTCACAGTGTGTGGGTCAACACCTCCGTCAACACCTTCCACTCCACACACTCCCAGGTACGTAACTAGGTACCTACTAGGTACAACACCCCCACCACAATCACCCTCGTCCCATACCAGCAGACACTCCTCCCTCTACAGTGTGTACACTATATCGACCATCACTACACTCTCCCACACACTCCCCAAATGTGTTTTGTTTTAAGTATCTCCATATCCTCGTTTCTTTAAGTCAAGATATCTTTTTATCTTTCTATATAGCACAAAGTGTTCTCTCTATCTTTCCTTTCAAACGACCTGACGTAAAGGCTGGTGCACTTACTATTAGAAAAATACTCTAGGTACAAAGAAAAATTCACAAGTTGTGCCTTCAGTAAGGAAATATCTAATTAGAAGATATTTATTTTGATCGATGCCCGCGATCAGCCCAGGGGGCCAGATTCACGAAGCATTTCCGCAAGCACTTACGAACCTGTACATCTCTTCTGAATCTTTGGCGGCTTTGTTTACAATTATTAAACAGTTAATGAGCTCCGAAGCACCAGCAGGCTGTTTATAACCATAACAACAGTTGATTTAGGAAGTTTTCATGTTTGTAAACTGTTTAATAAATCTAACCAAAGCCGTCAAAGATTGAGAAAAGATGTACACGTTTGTAAGTACTTGCGTAACTGCTTCGTGAATCTGGCCCCCCCTTTAACTGCCACGCCGAGCGGTGTGGCTTCCCTACAACGCTGCCGGAGCCGACAGAGTAACGCCAGACCTGTCACAGGCTCGCCACGGACTCTAAGACGTCTTCCTTCCTTCCTTCAGCAGGTAATAAAGACTGCCAGCCACCATGAGACTACCAGCCTGTGTGCTGCTGGTGACCCTCCTGGTGGGCCTAGGACGCCCCATGTCGGTCAAGCGACCGCTGTTCAACCCGGGACTCACCCAGTTGGAAGACCTGCACGACGAGGGACCAAGAGAGACGCAGGGGACCACTGTGAAGGACGACGACACGAGTATCTCGAAAACCTACATCGAAGACGACGAGTAAGTAGGTAGCCACCATCGTCTCCCGATATAATGACGATATTGCCTAGGATTATCAAGCTAAGATTGATACGCAATAATTACTGATAATTATGACCTTTCACACCAGCTATTACCCCGAGGACGGCGAGTACTACGACGACGGCGAGTACTACGAGAACGACGAGTACCCCGAGGAAGGCGTGTTTACAGAGGAGAGCACGTCCCCCGAGGAGCCCGACGAGGCCCGACTGTGGCTCTCGGACGATGATCCAGACTGGACGCCAGAGGGCTCGGGCAACACCCAAACAAGGTAAGTCTCTGGTCAAGTGCTAATTCAGTAACCCTTGTTGCTCCTCGCAGATTAGATCTTAGTAGTAGTAGTAAACATCAAAACGGTAGCAATACTATAAATACTAGTACAATAGTAATGCTGGAAGCTGTAGTAGCATAACTATTGTAGGTACAGACCACGCCCCCGTGTCCTAGTGCAGGTACAGACCACGCCCCCGTGTCCTAGTGTAGGTACAGACCACGCCCCCGTGTCCTAGTGTAGGCACAGACTACGCCCCGTGTCCTAGTGTAGGCACAGACCACGCCCCCGTGTCCTAGTGTAGGTACAGACCACGCCCCCGTGTCCTAGTGTAGGTACAGACCACGCCCCCGTGTCCTAGTGTAGGTACAGACCACGCCCCCGTGTCCTAGTGTAGGTACAGACCACGGCCCCGGTGTGTCCTCCAGCATCTAACAAATCCCTCGTGCCCAACAGTTACGACGAGACTCTGCTGCAGATCGCCCAACTAATGCACAGCGGCGCTAAAATCCTTCTGGACGAAGACGCTCCAGCCAGGGACAAGACCGTGGAGCAGCTTCTGGCCACAATCAAGAGTCGAAACCTTGGGGAGGCGGAGGCTCGTAATATCCGGGACCAGCTGCTTATCCTGGCTGGCGAGAATAACCTGGACCTGAATGACATCAGCGAAGAGAAGGAAGATTTTAGTTCCTTAGAGACGTCCTACGGAGCCCAAAGCCTTGGCAAGGTCTCAAGTACTAAAATAAGGCGACATGTACACCAGACCCAGAACGAAGGTCTGAGGCAAATTAGCGAGCCCCAATCTGAACAAAGTAGTCAACTCCAACAGGTAAAAGGTGGTCAGGTACTCCAAATTGGGCAAAATGGCGACGCGACTCTGCTGAACGACGACTCCGGATATGGTTCCCCGTATGTACTTGTGTTTGGTATTCTTGTCTCTATAATGAAACAGTGGGAAGGAATATTGAAGTGGAAGGAATGTTTAGTGTTAAGGGACTAAGAAAATGTTTATAAAAAGTGGTAAAAAAAAAAATTTGCGTGTTCTCACACCGTATTTATTATATTTGATTCATAAATAACCCAAAATAGATCAATTAAATTCCTTTAAAAACTACACCCTGCCTAAGTTAACACAACATGCTATCAGAATATTATGACGAGTCTAGCAAGTGGGCCGAGGATGACACCACCGGTGGCCTCCTAACCCAACCTGATACTAGACCGTTTACACGTTCTCAGAGGGTATTTACACGTTCTCAGAGGGCATTTACACTTTCTCAGAGGGCATTTACACGTTCTCAGAGGGCATTTACACGTTCTCAGAGGGCATTTACACGTTCTCAGAGGGCATTTACACGTTCTCAGAGGGCATTTACACGTTCTCAGAGGGCATTTACACGTTCTCAGAGGGCATTTACACGTTCTCAGGGGGCATTTACACGTTCTCAGAGGGCAGCAGGTGGACACGTCGGAGCTGTCGCAGGGGGTGGAGCAGCTGGTGCCTGAGGGAGGCCAACACCGCGCCGAGGTGGGCGTGGGTGTAGAGCCTGAGGAAGACACTGGAGCAGAGGACAGCGACCGCCCATCCCTACTGGGGTGGCTACAGAAAGGCTGGAGACATGTCAGTACACACAGCTATACTTGCAGGTTAATTGTGTTAACGTAGTGAAAACTGTCCACTCTTTAGTCGCGTTGTCACCGTCTTAACCAAACTTCTACTGAACCAACTAAAAACAATCTAATTTGTGACTATTGACTCAATATGCAATTCTTAAAATTTTGAAGATAAATCATTTAAAATATTATTTTTTGTTTTTACCCTTTGGGTAAAAACAATAGAGACTATGAAGAGACCAGCGAAGTGCTAATGTGACCTCTATCTATCTTCTTCCTGCAACAGGTAACAGGTGCTGTGGACAACCTTGGGGACCAGGCCGAGGACACCCTCTCCGAGTGGGGAGACAAGATCACAGGTGCCGCTGGCACCGTACATGTTGCAGCAGCCCAAGCCGTCGACAAAGTTCAGGAAACTGCAAAATCGGTAACCTAGTTTTTATTTTAAGATATCCCAAATTCTTGATCTGGGGAGGCCGTGGCGGTCAGGTACTCTGGGTAGCCACACCAGGTCTTGATGGCGGGGGGGGGATGTTCAGAGAAGTGAGGTTAATGTTTAGATTTTCCAATTATTTCCCCCCCTCTATTGATTAACATTGAGACATCTCTTTCCAAAGAAAAGCTGCATCACATAATATTTTAGGCTTTCGGGTCGTACATAACCGAACAAATCACATCAATCCTCCTAGTAATTTTTTATTACATTTACATTGTGCGAGTGCTCTATACACGTGGTGTTCCTGTTGATACGCTCTACAGATAACATGAAAACAATTACAAAATCTCACCGTGTGAAGATTCGAACCTATGCTCTGGGTACGCCCAATCAAAGGTTCGAATTGATTTTCGAAATAATCAATGAGATTTTTTTTTTTTTTCATTGATACATCACTTAAACGTGATTTCTTTGGGCATGTAAACAATTGCTATGACAGCACAAATACCGTACGCAGGTAGGCCATCACTAATCTTGTGGTCCCGTTCACTCACTCCTGCGGGTGACTTCCAGGCGCGTGAGCTCCTGCAGGATGCCTGGGGTGTGGTGCGGGCAAGGGCGCTCACAACCCTCCAGCAGGTACCCCTCCTCCGAACTCAACTTGTGCTAACAATTAGATTTTAAGAGAGAACGTCGTCTCCGACACTACTAATTTGAAGTTTTAACTTTGCTAGAATTAGAGCTATTAACATTTAAGGTTAAGCCTTCCCTACTGTTATTTCACAATTAACATACTAAACGGTGAGCGAGCCCTCCAACCCGAAAATACATTATAGGATTTAAATATTCAGTTCATTTAATACACTTACTTTGGGCACTGAGTTATGACACTTGATAAACATCTTCCTATAAACTCCCATATGACACCATCTTCCTGACTACATATTTCTCGCTTGCTTTGTGGAACCAATTACCGCGTAACATATAAACAGGACCCCTTGATTGTTTCAAGCCTAGGTTAGACGAACTTATGAACGAGACTGCGTGGATATAAAGCAGAGCTGCCTCGTACAGGCCAATAGGCCTTTGAAGTTAACTTGATTCCTATGTTTCTTTCTCTCTTCGTCCTCCTCCTGTCCCCCTCCCTCTCTTCCCTTTTCCAAAGTATGTCTCACTCTTCTCCCGGCTGTCTTAGTAACCCGTCTTGTATTGGTCCCTGCCATCAGCTCTGTCACTGTTAATACAACATCTGCTTTGTAACAGCCATGCTGACGTCTGCCCGGCAACATCGCTACTTTCCCAAATAATACAAAAATTTTTCAACTTACATCAACGCCGCCTTCCTTAAATCTACGAGTGAATTATCTTTCATGTTGTTAAGTAACAGTTATTTATTCTTTAAGTGTTCGTGTCTACCCTAGTAACACCCACATCCTGGCCTCGGGCCGGGCTTGGGGGAGTAGAAAAACTCCCAGAACTCCATCAAGCCGGTATCCCTCCAATCAGTGTCATCACAGCTCCTTCCCCCCACTCCAAGTAACCTCACACTGCCATAACAATATCTTCTCTCCTTAAGTAACCCTCGCGTGCCACTAAGCAACTTCCAATTAAACACCACCACCTTCGTGAAACCTAAAAGTAAGCTCGGTGCTCCGTCTTCCACGACAGACCGGAGAGAAGATTGCCACAGCGTTCCAGAAGGCGAGAGAGGCGCTGCCGCACCTGCAGGCGGGCATCCTCGCTGCCTTCGCCAAGTTCGGCACCCTGGTCCAGGAAGGTGCCCACTACTGCCTCCAGCGTCTCACCACTGCCTACGACCAGGTAACGCTGCCACCCGCCCTCGACACTTGGCCTGTCTCCTCTCTACATTATTACAATCATAATTGTAATGTTTGTACAAAAATAAACATTGGATATGTTAGAGAAAGGTGATTGTGCTCGAGTCTTCTCGAGTGTTCACAACGCCACTAAAATGACGTACTAAATTGCCGGAACCTAACCGAGGACCCACGAATGGAAAAATGGGACATCGCGTCAGTTTTGCGATCTGCTATGATTTTTAGTAAATAATTGTTGGCCAGATTACACACTAGAAAGTAAAGGGACGACCACGTTTCGGTCCGTCCTGGACCATTCTCAAGTCCATTCTCACAATCGATTTGAGAATGGTCCAGGACGGACCGAAACGTCGTCGTCCCTTCACTTTCTAGTGTGTGGTCTGGTCAACATACTTCAGCCACATTGTGACTCATCGCCTTTCCTGTGTAATTTAGTCTTCAGTGGTCAACAGCTTTATCAAACCATGTTTTTTATATACTGTGAGAGGATATGTAACCTACCCTAGATGTAACCTGGGGGGGGGGGAGACGGTGGGGGTTGCAGGCAGGGATGATAAAACAAGAACTAGTGGTGAACGTAAGGACGTGGGTAAAGAGGCGAGAGAGAGAACCAAGAAGGGGCTGTAGTGAGCATCGTTGGTAGTTACGATATGCACAGTTGGTGATCGTAAGTACTCAAATGTAACCCATGAGATGAGATGTAATTACATATATCTGTTTGAGGGGGGAGGGGGCGAGCTCGGCTCCTAACCCTCGCTGTCCGATCCATCTTAGTTTAATACAATGACTGTTCCCAGTTTTTGTTTTACATTTGAATTTAAAACTGATTATTACCTTAATATAGTAAACCACTTCTTGGGTTTTCCACGTATGCTCCTCGTTATGGAGGTCCCGTGTTCCTAGAACTTAGAACAATGACACTTTGTCTACTGTGACTTTCTCCTTAGAATCTTTCAGTGTATACTGTTAACTACCGCTCCCTCTCCTCTCCCACGGGAGACATCTCCCGTCACGCAGGGTGCAGTCGCACCTCCACAGATCTCCAGTATCATCTATTGATACTGGTAATGGCTCAAAAGGGCCACCACTTACGGGCTATTCATGCCCGTGCCACCTTTTGGGTTATCTTGAGATGATTTGATTTCTTGAGATGATTTCGGGGCTTTAGTGTCCCCGCGGCCCGGTCCTCGACCAGGCCTCCAAGGCCTTGGGTGGCTTAATCTTCAGTCAGTCAGTCTCTCCTCTCCATTGTGGTAAGGCCAAGTTTCCCCGATGTGTGTGCACGTGCGCGCTTGCGTCGTGTGCGTGTTTCTCCATATGTTTGTGTGTACATATACCAGCCGTTCCAACTACTTCCCAGGTGCGAGGCTCAGAGATCCTGGATAAATTAGAGCAGAAGATGACGGAGGGCAACGAACAAGTGGCTACGTTCTTCCGGACGCTCGGCCAGAAGGTGAGTGACCAAGCCTCAATCACCCGTATTAACATCGATTAAATGTCATTACACACAGAAATCACAATTGCGTGATGCATCAAATGAACAAATCCACAAGGGCTGTGACGAGGATTCGAACCAACGTCTGAGAGCATCCCAGACGCTGCCTTATGAATCCTCGTCACGGCCCTTGTGGATTTGTTGATTAAATGTCATCTCCCTTCTTCATTCAAACTATTCCTATCTCCCCCTCTAACGCGTGAACATTTAGGCTGTCAGCGGAACCCAGGCGCCTCCTGTCAGCATTTGACCACCACCATTCTATCGACAGTGTTGGATACTGTGCATACAAAATACCAATTTATACTGACCAAGGACACAAGTATACAAGCACCACACCGTGAGGTCCCTGAAGCTGTATACAAGCACCACACCGTGAGGTCCCTGAAGCTGTATACAAGCACCACACCGTGAGGTCCCTGAAGCTGTATACAAGCACCACACCGTGTGGTCCCTGAAGCTGTATACAAGCACCACACCGTGAGGTCCCTGAAGCTGTATACAAGCACCACACCGTGAGGTCCCTGAAGCTGTATACAAGCACCACACCGTGAGGTCCCTGAAGCTGTATACAAGCACCACACCGTGAGGTCCCTGAAGCTGTATACAAGCACCACACCGTGAGGTCCCTGAAGCTGTATACAAGCACCACACCGTGAGGTCCCTGAAGCTGTATACAAGCACCACACCGTGAGGTCCCTGAAGCTGTATACAAGCACCACACCGTGAGGTCCCTGAAGCTGTATACAAGCACCACACCGTGAGGTCCCTGAAGCTGTATACAAGCACCACACCGTGAGGTCCCTGAAGCTGTATACAAGCACCACACCGTGAGGTCCCTGAAGCTGTATACAAGCACCACACCGTGAGGTCCCTGAAGCTGTATACAAGCACCACACCGTGAGGTCCCTGAAGCTGTATACATCGTCCACAGGATGTGAGGTTGTCAGTCGAGGCACAAAGGATGTATAGCGAGATTACAGCCACAAGCTACTGTAAATGTCACCCCCAGATGATATTAGGTCTTGACAAATATAGAATAACTTGCATAAGCTTCGGTTTGATATGTATTTGAGACCGGCCATGATTAGAGTAGACATTACTGGTTGACAACATTTGCCTTAACGACTAGATATAAGCTACCGGTATTGACCCAATTATAACCGACTTCTTAATCTAAGTGGCAAGTCTACAGCCAATATTTACTTCTCGACTTTGTGTGAAGAAATGTCGCTTTCGTGGAGAAAAATATCTTAAGATTAGAATGAAAATACAAATTTCAAGCAACAAGAAATCAAAATTAAATATGTTCGGAGCTGTTCTTTCCCATGAAAGACCTGGCTGCTGCTCTTGGAGAAGCATAGTCTTACTTCAATATTTACAAATAATTTAATAAGCTTGATGTGAATTCCAGTTTTTTTTTTATACTACAACTAAAAAATATTTAGCCGTTTTCTTGATCTTTTTATATTGAAATAGAAGCATTGTCTGGGGGTGTCTGGTATCCGGGTTGACCCCCCCATAAGATAGCACCATTTAAGTGTTGGGTTACGGGTTATTCATGCCCGTGCCACCTCTTGGCTGGCTTAATCTTTATCAATCAATCAATCAAGTGTTAAGAGCTCTTAAAATGCAAATCTGCCACCGAAACATTTTACATATCAATCATTTGAATTCTGTTGAACAACACGACACACAGCCCCGCTCCTGTGCCAGGTAAGTCCACTACGGGCTCACCATAGCCCGTGCTACTTGGAACTTGTTCCGAGTAGCTGAATCTATAACACATGTTGAACAATTTGACTCTGCACGATACCTTTCATCTCCACTGACTTCATGTAGATAGTCATGGGAGCGGACTAACCAGCCTATGACAGTCTTCAGCCCTCACTAGTCACCCTGCAAAAATTAATGAGGCTAACTCCAAGCGTCTGGCCTCCAACCTTGGACAGACAGACATCCTGTTTTTGGAGATATAGATTTTATATAGATCGCAGATACAATTTCCCCCGCGCGCACTCCCTCCCTCGCCCGCATCAAGACGACGACAGCAGCGCTGAACACGACCCGTACGGACTACACACACTCGAATCGCCTTTGATTTCATAATTCACGAGAAACGATCATTTCCCACCTGTGTGTAAACCCTTGATAAGAGCTGCCTTCCATTCCTTATCGAAAATAACTATTTATTAACACACTAAATATCCACCGTCCCTCTCCCTCCATATCCGTCTCCATCCTTCCGCCCAAAACCCTTTTCCCCTCCTTCCCTCCCAGCCTCCCTCCCAACCCCTCTTTCTACCTAACTCCTTTACCAGTATTATCCTCACCCTAATAAGACTTAATTGAATTCCTCAGATTAGGCAAAATTTTAATTAAATTTTGTCAATAAAGATGTTAATAATAATAATCCTTTCCCCCTCAGTTTGCCTACATCCCAACGGTTCGCCCTCTGAGCCTCCCTCCCAGTCACCTTCCCTCGTCTCACCTTACTCAACTCAGATCCCTAGAAATACAATATAATTTTCATTAGTATTTGCTGATGGGTAGGATGAAAATAAATAAATCCTTTGGGTAAATGCAGAATGTCGCAATAACAGGTCTGACAAATAGCGCAACCCCCTATCAAGGTTTTGTTGTTGTTTAAGATTCAGTTACTCGGAACAAAAAGATCCAAGTAGCACGGGCTATGGCGAGCCCGTAGTGGACTTACCTGGCACATGAGCGGTGCTGTAACCTGCGTGCCTTATCAAGGATGGACTGAATCGTTACTTGCATTTCGTACAAGAAGGAATTGTGTTTTTTGTCCCCCAATAGATTCTAAAACTAATAGATCTAAATCTGTCGGATTCATAAAACTTTACTTATCAAATATGAGATTTATTAGTTGTATTTTGGTGCTGCTGCCACAGGTGTCGACGTGGCAGCAGGAGCACACTGTGGAGAACGTGGACGAGGGCCTGGTGGTCCACCACCACCACCAGCAGGAGGGACAAGACAACGACGAGGCAGAGGTCGCTCACATTGAAGAAGGCATCCCAGACTTTTTCCAGGTGAGAAACACATGCCATTATTTCCGGACAATGACTAAGGCGAGTTCTTCGGGTAAAGATCCCAATTAAGCTTACGGACGGGGGGATGGCCCGGTAATTTCTCTGTGAACGCCTGCCAATTAAATAATGGGGATAGTCCAGTAATTTAATAATGAGGATAGTCCAGTAATTTAATAATGGGGATAGTCCAGTAATTTAATAATGGGGATAGTCCAGTAATTTAATAATGGGTATAGTCCAGTAATTTAATGATGGGGATAGTCGAATAATCTATCAATGGGAGGACAGTCCAGCAATTTATTTCTGGGAAACGTTGGTAATTTCTCAGTGAGGCACTTCATAAAATGTCCCCAGTATCAGTCTCCCTAAATGATGAGGTCGAATTTCCGTGCAGGATGACGTTATCAAGCAACAATTGCTGAAGCTTGTGGATGTGGGCGTGCTGACCCAGAGCGACCTTGAGGTGTTCTATCAGGAGGAACAGAAGGCCAAAGAGGAGGAGCAGAAGGCCAAAGAGGAGGAACAGAAGACCAAAGAGCAGCAGCTGCGGGACGCTCAAGAGGAAGAGGAGGTCGGCAAGCCATAGTGAGGCAGAGAAGAAAACCCACACCCTGAGACAATCTTACTTCACTAAATGCTTAAGACTGTATCTTATTCCTACTATTCCATAATCTCTCACACTCCTGTGTTTATTCTATTACATTCTTTAATACAGTACTTCAAATCTTTAAAATCTCCCTTACAAAGCTTGGGGACCGAGGTAGGGTAAATTTAGCAAGATTCAGCGAGATCTTTGTATAACAATTTAATGTAAGAATGCAAAAAAGAATAATAATCTGTGGTGTTTCATTTGCCTTCCCGTCAGGCACGCTATATCACTAAAACACGGGGGTACATTATATGTACAGTTAAAGATATATATATATATATATATATATATATATATATATATATATATATATATATATATATATATATATATATATATATATATATATATATATATGCGAACAAGCCTGAATGGTCCCCAGGACAATATGCAACTGAAAACTCACACCCCAGAAGTGACTCGAACCCATACTCCCAGAAGCAACGCAACTGGTATGTACAAGACGCCTTAATCCACTTGACCATCACGACCGGACATAATGAGGTGATAGCCGAGGCTATTTGAACCACCCCACCGCCGGCACTCGGATAGTAATCTTGGGCATAGCATTTTACCAAATCACCTCATTCTTTGGGGCACACGTGAGGAACACAAATGCGAACAAGCCTGAATGGTCCCCAGGACAGGGTGAGTTTTCAGTTGCATATTGTCCTGGGGACCATTCAGGCTTGTTCGCATTTGTGTTCCTCACGTGTGCCCCAAAGAATGAGGTGATTTGGTAAAATGCTATGCCCAAGATTACTATCCGAGTGCCGGCGGTGGGGTGGTTCAAATAGCCTCGGCTATCACCTCATTATGTCCGGTCGTGATGGTCAAGTGGATTAAGGCGTCTTGTACATACCAGTTGCGTTGCTTCTGGGAGTATGGGTTCGAGTCACTTCTGGGGTGTGAGTTTTCAGTTATATATATATATATATATATATATATATATATATATATATATATATATATATATATATATATATATATATAAGGCACAACTCTCCTAAACACGAGAGTTAAGTATACAACTTTAGAACACTTTCCCACCAGGAGACTGTCGGATTCTCCTGGTGGGAAAGTGTTCTAAAGTTGTATACTTAACTCTCGTGTTTAGGAGAGTTGTGCCTTAAGCATAGACACTGTGTCTTCCCATATTAACAGGGACTTGATGAAATTAACGTCTAAATGACCCCTCACTTGCTCTAGTGCTCTTGGGAGGTGGTGATCTTTGGTGTATTTAAATACTCCGAAATTACCATCTCTTTTAAGGGTCTGAGCGGGTGGTGGAGCGGGTTAAGGCGTTCCTGTTATGCCAGTTGCTGGAAGGCTTCTGTGCTGGCTAGGGTTCGAGTCTCCTGGTGGGAAAGTGTTCTAAAGTTGTGTGTATATATATATATATATATATATATATATATACACACATATATATATATGTCGTACCTAGTAGCCAGAACGCACTTCTCAGTCTACTATGCAAGGCCCGATTTGCCTAATAAGCCAAGTTTTCCTGAATTAATTGTTTTTCGACTACCTAACCTACCTAACCTAACTTTTTCGGTTACCTAACCGAACCTAACCTATAAAGATAGGTTAGGTTAGGTAGGGTTGGTTAGGTTTTGTCATATATCTACGTTAATTTTAACTCTAATACAAAAAAATTTCCCTCATACATAATGAAATTGGTAGCTTTATCATTTCATAAGAAAAAAATTTGAGAAAATATATTAATTCAGGAAAACTTGGCTTATTAGGCAAATCGGGCCTTGCATAGTAGGCTGAGAAGTGCGTTCTGGCTACTAGGTACGACATATATATATATACACTAAGACACTGTACTTGTATGTACAATAATATATACACCAAGACACTATGTATATACCAATGAGATGGCCGCCACTCATCAGTCGATTCAATTCTTAAGGACCATCTACTTTTCGGACTGGGTCCAATAACCCAGAACACCGGTAGACTTCAAAGACGTCATACGGAGTCGACCATGCCACTACGTCCTAAGGCCCGTGTCGCTGGAGATGTGGAACACGCTGTCACAGCTGGTGCAAATCTGGTCATACACACACATACATACACACACACCCACATACACACACACACACATACACACACACACACACACACACATACACACACACACACACACACACGCGACGACGGCATGTCGACCGAATGGGAGTGAGTTAGAGTACTGTTCAGTTCATGCTCTGACCAGCACTCATTGCCTCGCCCGGTGATTCTGATTGGCTAACAGAATTCCCGCCACCGGACGAGCCACACCGTGCTGACCGTTAACGACCTTAACGGTCGTTAACCTTGTTCTCCCCTGTAATATTGATAGTATTACTATTAAATAACAGTGCCATTTTTTATGCGACGCAACAACACGATAAGGCATTCCGTAACAAGTGGTAGTTAACAAATGGAATGCATTAGGCAGTGATGTGGTAGAGGAAGACTCCATACACGGTTCCAAATGTAGATTTGATAAGAGCCCAATAGGCTCCAAAATCTGTACACCAGTTGATTGGTCCCGCCTCTCGACTGTCAAAGAGCCAAAAAGCTCAATCCCCGCAAGCACAACTAGGGGCTAGGGGAGTACACACACACACACACACACACACACACACACACACACACACACACACACACACACACACACACACACACACACACACACACGCCTTTCACTTGCAAATTTGCCTACATGAACGCTTTGTTAAACATTTCGGTGGCGCAGCCGACACCATTAAAAAACAACGGAATTCCATTTTATTAAAATCACTGGAATTTCGCATTATTATTCAACAGGAATATATAAACACAAACACTATTTTATCATAACAAACCATCATATATATGCTCGATGTATTTTGATACAAGCATAAAATAAACTATTGATGGTCGAATTGTCTTCTAAAGACCTTGGTTGTCCACGACAGTGAAGAGCACAGAGGCGTCGACCCATTGTTGGGTCTGATTCAAGGCCGCAGACCGCGCCAGGCAGTAATATATCTTTCCATTGATTTGATATTTGTTATTGCGCTACCAACCACTTGGGCTGGACGGTAGAGCGACGGTCTCGCGTCATGCAGGTCGGCGTTCAATCCCCGACCGTCCAGTCCAAGTGGATGCGCACAATTCCTTCCCCCCCGTTCCATCCCAAATCCTTATCCTGACTCCTTTCCAAGTGTAATATAGTCGTAATGGCTTCGTGCTTTCTCCAGAGGTCACGACCTCTCCGCAGGGTGCAGTCGCACCTCCACAGATCTCCAGTAGCAGCTAATGATACTGGTAATGGCTCAAAAGGGCTACCACTTACGGGCTATTCATGCCCGTGCCACCTTTTGGGTAGCTTAATCTTCAATCAGTGCTTTCTCCTAATAGGTCTTACATGACTGTCTGGACGGGGCCGTGTCTGTCTGTGTAATCCCGACCGCGTCTGGGCACGTGACAACGTTCATTTGTAATGGTCTAGGCATATATACCAACACTGTACACGTTATCCTCGTTGTCTATGCTCATACACGTCACACTTAACTGCTTCATTAGACTGGTGTTGACTATCTCTCGGACCTGTCGGTTCCCACACGTCAAGTTGCACCTATAACAACCTATTGCCGACGACTGACTGGCGAATACCGACTACACGTTTGTAAGAATGTTTGCATTTCCATCTGTCCTGTACATCCGTCCGTGTTCATGAAAGATGAACAACTTCACACACAAATTAGGTGTCTACCACTCACTACTCTCGGGGTGATGAACACATTCATAACCGGCTATCAACTCTTAAATTGAAAAACAAAATACCATCTTCCTATCTTGAGGTTATCTTGAGATGATTTCGGGGCTTTTTAGTGTCCCCGCGGCCCGGTCCTCGACCAGGCCTCCACCCCCAGGAAGCAGCCCGTGACAACTGACTAACACCCAGGTACCTATTTTACTGCTAGGTAACAGGGGCATAGGGTGAAAGAAACACTGCCCAGTGTTTCTCGCCGGCGCCTGGGATCGAACCCAGGACCAGAGGATCACAAGTCCAGCGTGCTGTCCGCTCGGCTGACCGGCTCCCTGCTAATCCATCAATATTACTGTTACAAGGGTTCCCCCCCCCCCCATCACCCCCACAATCCCTCCAGTCAGTTTCCACAACGACCTCCATCTGTATAGCTGTGAAAGGGTTGGCAGGAGACACGAGGCGCGGAGGGCGTGTTAGTTTACTTCACCTTCCACACGCCGCACTTAGTTAGTGAAGTGCCACACACACACACTGGTGGCAGCCGTAGTGGGGTCAAGACCTGAGAAAAGTTGGGGCGCCTCTACGTCATCGCAACCCATCCCAACATGCGAGAGAGACGCAAGAGAGGGATGGAAGGGGGCAGTGATATACAAGGAGTGAGGGGAGACCTGGTCAGACAGCAAAGGATAACCAAGGCAAAGGGGGAGTGAGAAAGATACAGCAAGTTAGTTAATGGTATCATAAAACAGTAGTGAGAGAGGCAGGGGGAAATGTCTGTGTCTGGGGATATATTACTCGCTCCTCCCTCACTTCCCCTCCCAAATCTCGTATCTATCTTGAGGTTATCTTGAGATGATTTCGGGGCTTAGCGTCCCCGCGGCCCGGTCCTCGACCAGGCCTCCTTTTTCTTACCCTTCACCTCACCCCAAACTCAGTCCCTCATCCCCAACCACACTACCTATCGCATCCACAACCACACCCCCCCCCCTCCCTCCTCCCTAAACCACAAGCTTTAACCCCGCCACCACTGGCAGAAGAGCGGTGTGTGGCAGACACCACAACACCAACCACGCCCACATTTAAAAACACGCGCACATAAAACATTCACACGAAAGAACTTTATTCGAACCAACTATGATGATCCTTTTGTTTAGCGTCGCCTGCTGTAAGTTCAGAGTTCATGATGATGGATGTCAGCGGAGGGGCGAGTACAGAGGAGAGGAGGAAAAGAGAAAGGGGAAGTGAGTAAGGAAGGGAATACATAGTGAGGACGAGAATTGTAGAAATGGGAAAAATATAGATACATGACAGCAGGCGGGCTGTCCGCCTTGCTGGCACAAGGTGTCTTTATAAGCTAAGCTCATTCCCTATTTGCAAGCGTTAACTAGGCTGTGTGTGTATATATCAGATGTTTTACATATATTTCAGAATATATCGCTATACAATGATGAATGACTTGGTCCATGGCTATACGCATGCGCTGATGCCAGGATCCACAAAGAGAACCATAACTTGGCTCTTCCATGTTGGGTCATGTTTCAGGTCAGACCGGAGTTTTTAACGTCGTCGTAATTTTCAAGCGTGCTTGCGTGTTCGGGAACGCAAGCACACGTCATGGCTTGTTGGAAGAGCTATTATCTACACTTGGAATTTTATAGTAAAAGTTTTGGATTCCTACGAATGCATACAAGCTCTAGGGCCGCCAGATAGGGAATAGCGTTTCAGGAGGAAACGAGGCGATAGAAGGAAGAGGAGTAGAAAAGCAGGTGAGGAAGGGGGAGGAAAAATGTAGGAGTTATGAGGATAGTCTCCATGCAAGGCAGTGAAAAGCAGAGCAGTAGTCCCCATGCCACGCAGTGACAAACAGTGCAGGAGTACCCATGCACGGGAGTGTTGTGAGGGGGGAAGGGGTGATGGGGCGACACTCCGCCCCACCACCAGTCACTCACCAGCCGGCACCAGCTCCCGCTGCACTCCTCTCCAGCTGTGTGTGAGTGTCCTGCGGTGAACACTATTCCCTCACCCTCCCCCCCGCTACACCACCTTCACAGTTCTTGTCGTGACTATAATGTACGTAGTTTTGGTGGATACAATTTTTAGGGCACTACAGCATGGTCAGTGAGGCAAGTTGTCTGTCCAACAATACTGCACATGCCCGCGCTAAGAGGATGGTTTTCTTCGAGACTACATTTAATAACTGATGACAGTTCGGACTCTAAGTACGAGGCCTAGTCAGAGACCGGGCCGCGGGGATTGTAATCCTCTGATTCTTCGACAAGTATACGGAGAGGGTTCCAAGAATTCTACGTCCCGAGCCCGGCCTGTGTCCAGGCTCGACTTGTGATAAAATATCCAAAAGGACCATTTTATCGAACAGTGCGTCGCTCTCTAAATGCGTCACCAACGCAGCCCGTCTTCTAAACACACCCAAAAGTGATTCCATGCACCCGCCAATTCCCCAGGCGTTTATGAATGAAAATCGGTTTACACACGACTCGCAACTGATTTCGTTCTAACACTTCCGGAACAAGTGCTTCACTGACGAATTTTGTTCGAACCCCAACGCTGTAAATGCTTCACCCACGTACTACAAATACAAATAATCGCCAACAGAATCTAAACACCTAACCTAACCAGTGCCTAAATATGCACAATATGCCAATATATAGTTTCATTTATATTTGAGAAAAAGTTTTTTTGAATGAACAGAAAGTTAAAATTGCTGAATGCGTCTTTGGGGTCGACCGCTGGATATTCTATCCATGGTCTGGATAGAATATCCAGACCATGGACTTGGTCTGAGGACGGGTTGATTCTCTAGGATAGGCTGAATTGTACCTGGATGGGATTCTGGGAGTAGTTCTATTCCTCAAGGCCGGCCCGGGGCCAGGCTCGACTTGTAAGCCTAGTGACGCTATCCTCAAGAATGCGTTTTTTAAGGACAGGACACTAGCCGTGGCTATGTTGTAACTCACTACCACCACACACACCATACCCACCTGCAGCTACCACTATACACAACCTTGCCCACACGTCTACCCCCCCCCCCTCTCTAATAACTACCCTACTTCACAACACTACCCTCTGCCCCTTCCACCCCTCCCATATAAAGACAACACTGCCAATCATCAATTCCCTATATTTGCAGATTCTAATCACAACTACCATGCCATTGACGTCGTTGATGACTGTGATCTTGGTTGCCGAGCTGGCCGGCTTGGGTTACGCCAGAACAGTGCACGTCAACTATTCGCCCGTGCCTGTAGCAGCAGCAGCAGGGGCAGCTGACGTAGGCCCCGGCGGCCTCGCCAGTCCTCTCTACGATAAAGACGCCTCCCTGGGCAGGTAAAGCAGCGTATTGCTTCTCTAAACACGACGACCGCTCGGCTCCTGGGCCTTGTGTCAATATTATTAGGGCCGAGGCAAGTTTGTAGAGTCTAACCCCTTCCACCCGTCACTTCGTCCGTCCTTCCTTCTCCCCCTCTCTTACTCCGTATCCCTCCCTCTAACCCCCGACCCGTTCTATCCTTAAATTCCGTCCGCGTCCAGTCCCGTTCCTCTCCATTAAGGCCATCAATCAATCTCACTCACAAGAGGCTTCATATCTGCCTCGCTGTGAAGACTTTAATTTCTCAAGCCGCGGGCGTTGAGCGCGAGGGATGCTCTGTGGCTTCTGCCACGCCAGAAGCCCCAGCAGTGAACACCACGGAGCCTCCTTGAGCGCCAGTCCCGCCGCTCCGATACTAATAATGATATCACCGGCTAGATTTGTTAGGGACGATAAGGATAACGTAACTTGTGTGAGGGCGTGTCTTCCCATATGATATCATACACGCACAAGCGCACACTGTATATGCACCCATTCACAAAATGTTACATGCGTACAAAATGTTACATTACTGCCGCCACCATTTCACTCGGTCTTTCCTGTGGGGGTTTGTGTTTGGTCAGCGCTCTCGGCTCTAGTGGCAGATCAGATTCCATCTTAAAAACAGCTTGGAAACTTTAGTCAAGTACCTCGCATATTTCCTCTTCATTCTCCGCGGGCCTTCTTTCTTGTATAATTCATTCATATTCATTCATTCATTCATATTCATTCATTCATTCATATTCATTCATTCATTCATATTCATTCATTCATTCATATTCATTCATTCATTCATTCATTCATATTCATTCATTCATATTCATTCATTCATATTCATTCATTCATATTCATTCATTCATATTCATTCATTCATTCATATTCATTCATTCATATTCATTCATTCATTCATTCATTCATTCATTCATTCATTCATTCATTCACACACACACACACACACACACACACACACACACACACACACACACACACACACACACACACACACACACACTACAGACAGACAGACAGTGTGTAACTATTTCCTGGTGCTTTCAACAGCGCCCCAGAAGAGACAGCAGTATCAGCGACAAGCAGTCCCCCGTCATCACACAGCGAGCGGCTCCAGCACAACGCCCTCGACGACCCCTTCAACTACGACTACTCTTACGGCGATCCTCACTACGACTACAACACCAATGAGAGCAGGCGAGTCTTGGTGTGAGAGAGGAATGAATGAGAGGCAACCCGCGGCAGTTGCCGGGTCTGTAATGGTCCCGTACAAACACGTGAAGGCTGAAGGTAAAAGGAAGCACTAAGCCAGTAGGACTATATTGCCCCCTGGAAGATACACGAGGTCAGAATAACTTAACGGGGGACCCAGATAACTGGACTATCGGGGATCGACCAATGAGAGAGCGAGACTTGCTGTACTTTACGTAATCCATCAAATTGTAAACAAATATTAAGGGCAAATAAAGTTTCCATAAGGGTTAGATACTGCGTGAAGGTAAACAATATATTGTAAGTAATATTTCACGTAAACCTTGTTGAGAATCAGTGCCGCTTTTGCACTATGGTCCGCGCTGGCAGCAGCTGTGATAGTGGCCAAGCAACCCGTTCTCGCACTTTCGTATAGTCAATATTGACTTATTAAATACGTACATATGTGACATACTGAACATACTAGTTTACCCTGAAAAGCTTCATAGAAAACACCGACCTTACCTAACCTTCTTAGTATGTTAAGATAAGCATCTTATTGCTTCGTAATTACAATTATTACTTAACCTATTATAGGTATAGGTTAAGTAATAATTGGGCCAAGGTACTATTTACCAAGAGGTTCGATCCCATTGTCTGAAGGATGACTGCGAAAGATCAGTCAGCTTCACAATACCAAGATGCTAAATAAGGCTATTGATTGGCGGTCAATATTCACTGACGTATGTATCCTACTCAGCAGTTAGATGCAAACATTAACGTGCTTATTACCTGCGACAAATTATTTTGAGGGCTAAAGTACTGTACTTATAAAAATTTGTATTGTGAAAAAGTCCATAGGGGTAAGTTATTTATACACACACCTTTGGAGCACTTAAGATTGACTTGGCTTTACCTACAGACCCACTGAGGAAAAGGACAACCCACTGCTCACTCCCAGCACCCCCGAGCTGGTTCATGTTACCGCCAGACCCACTGAGGGGAGAGGGAACCCACTGCCCACTTCCGGCACACCTCAACTAGATGGTGACGACGACACCGTCTACACCACAACTCCTGAAAGTGACAACCCCGACGACGACGTGGCTGACGACACGGGTTTCTTTAGTGCTTTCCACTGGCTGCAGTCGCAGTGGAAAAAAGTACGTCTGGCTACTGTCGATGTTCGTGCTGGAGTTGCAGGTACGTGCAACTCCAGCACGAACTGGAGTTGTACAATAACTTGCAAGTTGCACACACAATAAGTTAGAGTTAATAACAGCTGCAGGTATATCACAGTACCTGCAGCTGGAGTACTGTAATATAATGTGGGAGTAAGGCTGTCAACAAAGATATCACCAGTTACAGGACAACACGCGTCAGAGATCAGGGTAGGAATGTCGTCTCTCTCTCACCAGGCCGAGGTGAACATACAGCAGATGGAGCAGCAGCTGCAGGAGATGAAGAAGAGCGTGACGGAGTTTATACACATGTTTGGTGACCTGGTGGAGGAAGGAGCAGAGTACTTTATACACAAGTTGAGGCAAACAGCCACGAAAGTTAATGTAAGTCGTGTCTTCCAATACCAACACCTTTATTTTATTCCCACCCATCCACACATGTTAACCCCTTCCCCGCACCCCTCCCTTTTATCTGGCTCCCAAACAGATTCCCCCCCACCAGCTCCCCAACTCATCGGAGTCCCCATGAATCACCTAGCTTCTCCCCTTAAGTACCCATTATATAGTCATAATGACTTATCTTTACTGTTATACAGATCCTTAACACATTATGATGAGCATGTACAGCTGGCCAGTGTGTGTGTCAGTGCATCATACTGATGGTGGTGTGTGTGTGTGTGTGGTGCTTTACAGAGCCAGGGGGCGCTGGTGCTGGAGAAGCTGCGCCAGAGCTTGAAGGACGGTAACAAGGAGGTGGCGGCCCTCTTCCGCCTCATTGGCCTCAAGGTACCTTCCCACACTCTTCCCTGCTGCTGCTTCCTCCTTCCTACTCATCTTCTCTTCTTCCTGCTCCTTTATTCAGAACACTCGTGCATCGAGCTGTTCCTTGCATGCTGCTAACGCTGAAGCAGTGCACAGGGCCACGATAACCGTACACAACCGCCCCGCAAATAGCTCTTTACACGTTTAATATTATTTACCCTTTGACACACTCCCTGGTACTTTTAACGGTATATTATGCACGGGTGTTTTTGTGTGCTCCTCTTTCGTGTGCCACTGGAACAATTAGCGCTGCTCGAGCTCATGCCGTGACTAAGTAGTGCTGAAAGGCACCCGTTAAGTTGGCTGTTCAGGCTGGGAGATTTTAGGAAATGTCTTTCTTATGCTATGCACGCATTACGTAACACAGACCCGGAGACACGGGTAGAACTTAGGTTCTCCCAGTGAAGATCAATGAACGTTCCTCTTTAAGACGGACCTAGAGAGAGAGACCTTACGTTCTCCCAGTGAAGAGGAACGAACGTTCCTCTTTAAGACGGACCTAGAGAGAGAGACCTTAGGTTCTCCCAGTGAAGAGGAACGAACGCTCCTCTTTAAGACGGACCTAGAGAGAGAGACACATTAGGTTCTCCCAGTGAAGAGGAACGAACGTTCTTCTTTAAGATGTATCTTGGGACACAGACCTTACGTTCCTCACTGAAGAGCAGCAAACGTTTTTAAGTTACGCACGTGGGAGCAAAAGTCCACAAAGTGCAACGTACCCTTTCCTCTTTATATATATAAAGCAATTCTGGCCCAATTTATATTTCTTTTGCAACGTAGCTTTAAGCCGTGATATTCTACATGATTTTTTCTGATATCAACATTTCATACCAGTACGAGTCATTGTACATTGATCAATATAGAGTTTGTGACTATCTTGATAATACAATTCCTGTACCTAACCTGACTAACAGTTACTGTGCCTGTACCCTGATCAATAGATAATTCTTGTGACTGTATCCTGGTCAATAGATAGTTCCTGCGACTCTCCTTATCAGTAGAGCGACCCCCGATACTGTATCCTGATCAACACAATACTTGGGTCTGTATCCTGATCAACACAAGAGTTCCCATGGATGTTGTTTGATCAATACGATTAACTATCTTCTTACCCCTATCGTAGGTACGGGAGTGGTCACTGCGCCACCAACAGCAGGATGAAACAGGAGGGGCAGAAGACGAGGCACAGGAGGAGGAGGAGGAGGACGTGACAGGGAAGTCAAGTGAGGCCGGGATGGTACCCGAGCACATGGTATCCCAGTACCAGCGAGGCGGCGGCGGCCTGGAGCACAAGATACCAGAGGACGCTCATCCCCAACGTACAGTGGGGGATATGCCCAACCTCTTCCAGGTGAGTCCCGACAACGAAGGTTTAACAATATATAACCTGCCTGTTATATATCCTGCCCGAAACGCTGCGCGTACTAGTGGCTTTACAAGAGTGTAATTACTGTACTTGGCTATGTATTCTCACAAACCCAATGTACCTTCTTGTATATAAATAAATAAATATATAACCAAACAACTGGCCAAACAGAAGCTCGCTTTTAGTATTTTGTATAGTAATGCTGCCGAGCTGCAGCTGCGAGACGGATGTCGCAATATTTTAGCAATGATGAATGTTGCAAGGTCTTCCAAGGAGGGAGAGAAAGAAATAACTTCCCTGACAGAGAGCAAGAGTGAGGGCTTGGGAGTTAATTTTGCAGATAACGTCAGCTTGTCTTCCATTCACTAAGCACGTGGAGGGAGAACTGACATTTTTTTTCTGAGGAATATTTTCAAGATGGGATGTATCAATTACACATCTGGATGACTTAATCAACATGAAAGAACTTTATGAAGATTATAAGCATCTCGGAGGCTGATTCTGTTATAGAAACAGAGCTTTTCCATGAGAAATTAAATGTTGCCGTTAGACTAAGGATATTTACGTAATTCTCTTCCGTGTTGCAAGAAATTTGTTTACAAACGTTTCCACGACTGTTGCTACCACTCGAGGCTGGTGGATCAAAATCTAACTCAAGAAGCATCAGTGCGTCAAAGAACATGGCTTGAGTGGTTAAAGCATCATGTTTATGTAGTAGAATGTGTTGATATGTAGGTTATCATCTTGAGGTTATCTCGAGATGATTCGGGGTTTAGTGTCCCCGCGGCCCGGTCCTCGACCAGGCCTCCACCCCCGGGAAGCAGCGCGTAGCAGCTGTCTAACTCCCAGGTACCTATTTACTGCTAGGTAGCAGGGGAATCAGGGTGAAAGAAACATTTTGCCCATTTGTCTCCGCCTCCACCGGGGATCGAACCCGGAACCTCAGGACTACGAATCCGAAGCGCTGTCCACGCAGCTGTCAGGCGCCCTAGGAGAGGTAACTTTAGTATCTGGAGAAAGTGCCTTACCTCTTGGGCTATCGGGGATCGAACGTCGACCCTGCAAGAACCGAGGTCTTCGTTGGACCGACCAGTCCAAGTAGATGGACAGGATGTGAAGCTGAGTTGTGAGGCTGTTGGTGTGAGCAGAGTGCATGCAAGAGGGATGGCAGAATTCATCAATTATTAACACAAGAACAAGGGGGAAAGATCAAAGACTCGAGAAGTTTGGTTATTGAATTAATGTTGAAATACTGTACTACTAAGGATTTATAAGTATCCCAGTGTAAGTGTACCCTGGTATTGGGGCTCCCCCCCAAGTACAAGTGCTCCCCCCCCCCAAGTACACGGGCTCCCCCCACACCCCTAGTACAAGGGCTCCCCCCACCCAAGTACAAGGGCTCCTTCCCCCCCCCCCCAAGTACAAGGGCTCCTCCCACCCCCCCCCCCCCCCCCCCCCAAGTACAAGGGCTCCCCCCAAGTAGAAGGGGCTCTTCCGCCCCCGCCCCCCCCCCCCAAATAGAAGGGGCTCCTCCTCCCCCCCCCAAGTACAAGGGCTCCTCCCTCCCCAAATACAAGGGCTCCTCCCCCCCCCAAGTACAAGGGCTCCCCCCCCCAGTACAAATGTACCAGTGAATACAGACATTAACACAGTGTTGCTTCAGGACTCGTCTGTGATGCAGAAGATTGACCAACTGGTGAAGGCGGGCATCCTAACGAGGGAGGACATACAGGCAGTTCTAGGAGCGGTGTAGCTCTTGGTCCCCTCCATCACCGTCCCCACCACCAGGTGAGTCCTCCGCCTCACCCATCACCTGTTAACCTGCTCTTATATTTACTACCACCTCAAAAGGTTACTCACAGCCTTGTACAATGTACTTGTTGAACAAGTGAAAATATATTTTTAAGACTGTATTGGATGAAAGAAAACAAAAATGAGTATCCAAAATACCTGACCATTTTCTCCATATGCAGTATTCAAAATGTATTTGTACCAAAGCAATTGGTATTTAATTGATCCCTCTGTGGCTTCGATAACATGAAGACACTTCCAATAGCCGTATAATAGGCTGAGGCTAAGACTTAGACTGAGGCAGCCCTAAGTCTCAGTAGACTTAGTCTTCCCACCACACCCTCACACTTCGCTGAGTGTTAAATATTATTATTTTCTTTCCACAGACGGGTACAGGAGTTGATTTGCCAACTGCATCTGTAGGTCAAAACCAGTGTTATAATAGGTTAAGATTTGCAGACTTATCGTCAATAAAAAATGTTGAATAAATATAAATATATATTATATATATATATATATAAAACACCTTAACCACTTGGACGAAGATTTGAGGCGTCACGTTACCCTGCAATAAATTCCATTTGCAAACAAACATTAGCTTCTTTGCAAAAGGAACCAGATTGTCTAATATACTACCTTCATAAGCTTTGGAATTCACGCGTCCTCGAATTTTAAGAAGACTATTTGTGAATAAAAAAATGTATAAAGATGTAGAATACAAAACATGCAAGACGACGACACTGATAAAGGACCAATAGTGTAGCAGAGTAGTAGTAACCAAACTGAAAGTATTATATTTAGACAAAAATAACGAGAGAGAGAGAGATTCAGGAAAGAATTTACCAAGTTGACAGAGCTGAGGCCAAAAACAGGGCCTGAGGCACTCTGCTCCTGGTCACGTCGGTTCAGGCAATTATGAGGGGTCAAGCGCTAAGCTGGTAGGATTATATGGTACCTGGGAAGGTCTACGCGTACGGATCGAACAAAGAGTGCCCAACCACACTGGGACCATCTGGGATTGAACGCTGACCCTGCAAGAAGTGAAGTCATCACTGAACGGTCCACGTGGATGTACTCTCAGCAGGTAAAGAAAACTTTGCTCTCCATGCTCCAAATTCACCAGACTTTCCCAATACTTAATGATTAATACAACATTTTGCAGAACGTAAAGAATTGGCGAGAGAATTGGGGCGTTCCAATATATTTTATTTGTTGTTAATTAATGAATTCCAATAAATTCGCTGGTCTTACCATTTGCTTTGTTTTCGTCCAAGGATTTTCGGTCATTATTTTTAACTAAAACTAGTATACAATTTTTGACGCAAGAATTCAATAACCATTTGCCATTTAATGCTTTTCTTTTAACATCCGGCATTTTGTTTTTTTTTATTATCTGCCAAATACTGTCGTTTGAGGCAAGAGTATTTGCAATGTATCTCTTCTATAACTTTCTCTATAACTCTATAACTCTAGTATCTCTATAACTCTGGCACTCCTTCAAGACTGAGCAGTAGAACAACACATGTGCACTTACATCGCATCAGGCTTGGATGCCTCATGTGCATGGGAAATAGGCTTACAGGTTCCGGAAGATGAGAGGAAATGTCACCACTGTGGAGAAATGCCCGACAGACCACTGGAACATTATCTAACACAGTGCACAGTTACAGCCACAACAGACCACTGGAACATTATCTACCACAGTGCACAGCCACAACAGACCACTGGAACATTATCTACCACAGTGCACAGTTACAGCCACAACAGACCACTGGAACATTATCTAACACAGTACACAGTTACAGCCACAACAGACCACTGGAACATTATCTACCACAGTGCACAGCCACAACAGACCACTGGAACATTATCTACCACAGTGCACAGTTACAGCCACAACAGACCACTGGAACATTATCTACCACAGTGTACAGTTACAGCCACAACCGACCACTGGGAACAGAACAGACAGACACAGTACACAGTTACAAACCCAATAAGGTTTCAACCAAGATTCAACAGAGCAGAAAAGGTTGTTAAAAACATTGGGTATAATCTTACTCAAGCGACCATACAGTCACACACTCTTACTCCGTCTCAGTAACACGTAAAACTTAATAGGCCAGCCAGAGGCTTAGGGGCCCGCGCAGGAATATCTCTGCCCCCCCCCCTCCCCCATTTTTTTTTATTCAAGCTCAGCAGCTTCCTTATCGCCTTCCTGACACAATAACACAACGTTGTTACTCTCAGTCTCTCAATTGTTGACTCACGTAACCACGCCAGGTCGGACGCAAGACCACACTATACATGAGAATGAAGTGTAACAGCATTAATCAATGAAACTAACATCCCAATATTTTCACACACTACATTTCAATAGCAACAGGAGAGAGAGAGCGCCTTTACTACTGCTAGGCATTCACTTCTTTCACAGCAGTAGGATAGATTTCTGAAATAAGAGAATACAGAGAACATATACGGCACTCCTAAAATATTAGAACCATCTTGACCCTCTCGACATGCACTTTCGGAAAGGAGACGAGAGAGGGTATTAAATAATATATACATGAAAGATACTGGAAGAACAGGTTCTAAATTTACGCAGCAGAACAAAGACATACTGGAGCTAATGATATGGAAGGAAATGCATAATAGAACCAGTGAGGAGTAGAGGTGCCACAGGCCCAATCAGAGAACACTGTCTGAACATGAGAGGTCCACGGCTGTTCAATACCCTCTCAGCAAGCATTAGGAATATTGCCGGAACAAAAGTGAATTTCTTCAAAAAGCAATTAGTCACATTCCTGCGAGAAGTGCCGGACCAACCGGGTTGTAGTGGATGTAGCGTCCCCTGCCCACACACTCCCCTCCTAGAGAGTAGGTTTGTGGCGGGAAGCAGAAGCACTACACATTAAACACCGTTTTGGAAAGGAGCAAAGCGAAGACCTGTAGGGTGGAGGGATGCTGGGAGAGTAAACATTGGATGACGGAGAGTGGATGACAGAATGGATGGGGTGAGAGATTGATGGTGAGTGAGGCGGCCGTGAGGACGAGAGATGAACTGACAAGAAAAAAAAACGAGAGGAATTCAAAGGGAGAAAGGAAAGAAAAGGAAGCAACAAAGGTGTAATAGGGAGAAAGGGGGGAAGCGACAGAGAGAGAGAGGAATAGATACCTGTTGTTGGTTTAGAGAATTTTTCCAATTGTCGAAGCCCCGGCCACGAGCAAATCTTCCCTCCTACCGTATCCCACTTCAGTAAGTTAGTTTTACTGGCTAGAATAGAAACAGACCAGCGACCATTTTCCTGCCAAAGATTATTACAAAATTTCTCTTCTCCGTTACACGGAAAATTGTGATGAGCACTCAGAGTCGTTCCTTAGTAAATCAACCGATTATTACCTAAGCATTCCCAATAAATTTCCACAGTCGCTTCACCCCCAGGATACTTATACAACAAAACAAATACAATAAGGAGAGCGCAGCCTCCACGCTGATAGCAACTACATAAATCGTTTACCCCCCCCCAACCCGGACAGTCAGGGAAGCAATCTCTCGCAGTTCCTCGATGGTCCAAACACAATCAAGATTCAGTGTACAAGGCGTCTGGAGAGAGAAAAACTGCTTTATCTTTAAAAGAAAAATCGGCAAAGTTTCCGACACGAACACAGGGGAGGGGACACACATGCGCGCGCGCACACGCACACACACACACACACACACAGACAGACACACAGACAGACAGACAGACAGACAGACAGACAGACAGACAGACAGACAGACAGACAGACAGACAGACAGACAGACAGACAGGACAGACAGACAGACAGACAGACAGGACAGACAGACAGACAGGACAGACAGGACAGACAGGACAGACAGGACAGACAGGACAGACAGGACAGACAGGACAGACAGACAGGACAGACAGACAGACAGACAGACAGACAGACAGACAGACAGACAGACAGACAGACAGACAGACAGACAGGACAGACAGACAGACAGACAGACAGACAGACAGACAGGACAGACAGACAGGACAGACAGACAGGACAGACAGACAGACAGACAGACAGACAGACAGACAGACAGACAGACAGACAGACAGACAGACAGACAGACAGACAGACAGGACAGACAGGACAGACAGACAGACAGACAGACAGACAGACAGGACAGACAGGACAGACAGGACAGACAGGACAGACAGGACAGACAGGACAGACAGGACAGACAGGACAGACAGACAGACAGACAGACAGACAGACAGACAGACAGACAGACAGACAGACAGACAGACAGACAGACAGACAGACAGACAGACAGACAGACAGACACACACACACACACACACACACACACACACACACACACACACACACACACACACACACACACACACAGACACACACAGACACACACACACACAGACACAGACACACACACACACACAGACACACACACACACACACACACACAGACACACACACAGACACACACACACAGACACACACACACACACAGACACACACACACACACAGACACACACACACAGACACACACACACACAGGTGACACAGATTAAGCAAGAAAGAGAGGGCTGGGCGGACTGCATTTTCTTGGATTGTCGGAAAGCCTTTGACACAGTACCGCATAAGAGGCTGGTACATAAGCTGGAGAGACAGGCAGGTGTAGCTGGTAAGGTGCTCCAGTGGATAAGGGAGTATCTAAGCAATAGGAAGCAGAGAGTTACGGTGAGGGGTGAGACCTCCGATTGGCGTGAAGTCACCAGTGGAGTCCCACAGGGCTCTGTACTCGGTCCTATCTTGTTTCTGATATATGTAAATGATCTCCCGGAGGGTATCGATTCATTTCTCTCAATGTTTGCGGACGATGCTAAAATTATGAGAAGGATTAAAACAGAAGAGGACTGTTTGAGGCTTCAAGAAGACCTAGACAAGCTGAAGGAATGGTCGAACAAATGGTTGTTAGAGTTTAACCCAACCAAATGTAATGTAATGAAGATAGGTGTAGGGAGCAGGAGGCCAGATACAAGGTATCATCTGGGAGAGGAAATTCTTCAGGAGTCAGAGAAGGAAAAAGACTTGGGGGTTGATATCACGCCAGACCTGTCTCCTGCAGCACATATCAAGCGGATAACATCAGCGGCATATGCCAGGCTGGCCAACATACGAACGGCATTCAGAAACTTGTGTAAAGTATCATTCAGAACTTTTTTAGTGTCAGAGTGGTTGACAAATGGAATGCATTAGGAAGTGATGTGGTGGAGGCTGACTCCATACACAGTTTCAAGTGTAGATATGACAGAGCCCGATAGGCTCAGGAATCTGTACACCTGTTGATTGACGGTTGAGAGGCGGGACCAAAGAGCCAGAGCTCAACCCCCGCAAACACAACTAGGTGAGTACAACTAGGTGAGTACACACACACAGACAGACACACACACACAGACAGACACACACACACAGACAGACACACACACACACAGACACACACACACACACACAGACACACACACACAGACACACACACACACAGACAGACACACACACACAGACAGACACACACACACAGACAGACACACACACAGACAGACACACACACAGACACACACACACACACACACACACACACACACACACACAGACACACACACACAGACACACACACACAGACACACACACACAGACACACACACACAGACACACACACACAGAGACACACAGACACACACACAGGGTATGTTCTCTAAAACAGCGATGGAGTATTTTAGAGAACATGTTCCTGTACCTTCACACCGTCGAACGGGCTCACCATAGCCGGTGCTACTTGGAACTTTTTGTTCCAGGTAGCTAATCTTAAACAACAAACAACAACGACATGCGAAGCTGTACAACCGATGCTCTGATGTACTAACAGTAAGAATTATAACGAATTGAATTATACAATAACTATAATAATTATATATAATCAATAAATAATTCATATATACAATCTTGCAAATTAAAATATTAGTAACTGATGTTATTACATTTAGATATTACACTAAATAATTCTACTTGTCAATGGATCCAGTCGAGGGCTTTTTCTAATATTTACCTCGTCAGCAATGTGGGACTTGAACTTGGACTTGTGAAGTACGAGGTCAGTACTATACCATCCACGGCCACCTTGACCACAACAAGGAAGGCATTAAAAAAATTTTACAAACCTCCCATTACACGACTTACAACATAACCAGAATACAACACCCGCTACACAACCTAACCAGGATACAACACCCGCTACACAACCTAACCAGGATACAACACCCGCTACACAACATAACCAGAATACAACACCCGCTACACAACCTAACCAGAATACAACAGCCGCTACACAACCTAACCAGAATACAACACCCGCTACACAACCTAACCAGGATACAACACCCGCTACACAACCTAACCAGGATACAACACCCGCTACACAACATAACCAGGATACAACACCCGCTACACAACCTAACCAGGATACAACACCCGCTACACAACCTAACCAGAATACAACACCCGCTACACAACATAACCAGAATACAACACCCGCTACACAACCTAACCAGGATACAACACCCGCTACACAACATAACCAGAATACAACACCCGCTACACAACCTAACCAGGATACAACACCCGCTACACAACATAACCAGGATACAACACCCGCTACACAACATAACCAGGATACAACACCCGCTACACAACATAACCAGGATACAACACCCGCTACACAACATAACCAGGATACAACACCCGCTACACAACATAACCAGGATACAACACCCGCTACACAACCTAACCAGAATACAACACCCGCTACACAACCTAACCAGAATACAACACCCGCTACACAACATAACCAGGATACAACACCCGCTACACAACCTAACCAGGATACAACACCCGCTACACAACCTAACCAGGATACAACACCCGCTACACAACATAACCAGGATACAACACCCGCTACACAACCTAACCAGGATACAACACCCGCTACACAACATAACCAGAATACAACACCCGCTACACAACCTAACCAGGATACAACACCCGCTACACAACATAACCAGAATACAACACCCGCTACACAACCTAACCAGGATACAACACCCGCTACACAACATAACCAGGATACAACACCCGCTACACAACACCGAGGCGCCAAACCAAAGTATTAGAGCTGGCGTACACGGTCTTAATCACCACCTGGGCTGGTATTTTTACAAGAGCAATAGTCTCCTACACTCAGGTGGGGTGTTGGTAAACCTCCCCGAGAGGGTCTTCCCCACTTACGTGATCGTCCCGCCACACTTGGCTCAGGTGTGGGTGGCGTCAACACACTCCAGATACACACAATCTCTCAAGTTACCTCCTCCCTGCGTAGGTTATTTGCTCGCTCTCCCTTGTATTTTATCTCCTACTCCTTTCACTTCCCAAATATTTGAATATATTTTGTTGGTCTGCTGCTCTGGTATTATGATAAGCAAACAGCAAGAAAGTGACATGTGGAAGTTTAATGCTTTATTTATTGCCAATTCTGCCCCCCTTCCTTCCCCCCTTAGAAGCCCTTGTGTTTAAAATTATTGGTACGTCTTTCTTTCAAACTGGCGCAGCAAAGGTGGTCCTCAAATACTTTTTTTTTTGTCAGCGTTAACGCCTTTCCTGCCTTCTGGACCCCTAATAAATGCCTTACGTATAACAAGAGGAATTCCTTTTGTATAACATTTGTATAACTCGGTCCTTGTGTGTGACGCGGCTTCTCAAACCCTGATGCTATAACAAATAATTTCTTGTGCGGTTAAAGTTATATTTCCAAATTTCAGAATCCTTTCCACATTCCATTCCCCCACCCCCCTTAACCACCACCCATTCCTACCAATCCCACCCACCAAGCCTGATGGCCCCCCCCCCCCACCATGGGCCCCCCCAGCCTCATGGGCGCCCCCACCAAGCCTCATGGGGCCCCCACCAAGCCTCATGGGGCCCCCACCAAGCCTCATGGGGCCCCCACCAAGCCTCATGGGGCCCCCATCAAGCCTCATGGGGCCCCCACCAAGCCTCATGGCCCCCCACCAAGCCTCATGGGCCACCACCAAGCCTCATGGGCCCCCACCAAGCCTCATGGGCCCCCACCAAGCCTCATGGGCCCCACCAAGCCTCATGGGGCCCCACCAAGCCTCATGGGGTCCCCACCAAGCCTCATGGGGCCCCCACCAAGCCTCATGGGGCCCCCACCAAGCCTCATGGGCCCCATCAAACTGGCACTGTCAGAAGACGTGAGCAGTGTTTGTTGTCATGGCCGAGGAGCCGGCACAAGAGTGCTCAAGAGATAAACAAACTGAGCCAAAGACAGCCGCAGAGGTCAAGACAGTGCGCATGCGCACAGACCAATTATAACTCCTTGTTCATATACAATGTTTGTACATTTAGTGTCGAGTTACTTTACACATTTACAGTAAACTATTTGCCTGATAAAAAATAACAGTAGCATAACATGTAATATCTGTAATTATAACCTGTATACTCAAGATTAAGATTTAGAAGCTATATTTATCAATGATTTTAAAATCATTACACTCGTCAAATTCACAGCCAAACTGTTTCCGTAACAACTTACAGAAATTGTTAAAATAAAGGCTGAAGTAAACAAAGAGTCTGAATCAGTTTAAATCAAACTTTACACTTTAGACAGAATAACATTTAACTTAAAAATTGAAAATTATATATATTGGAAAAATAAAAATGTAGTTTACTGTTGGACCAGAGAACAAATACTGCCACACTTTACATCACAAACGTGGGATAATGTGCCGATAATTTAAAGGATTAATATAAACTAATCATTCAGTGAATTTTTATAACAAATGTTGCACCCCCTCAGCTTTCTCAATCAGCAAATTCTTGGGCTATCTTGGATCATAATCACTCCCAACAGTTCAGGCAACATAGATCTGACTTCAATAGAACTCAAAACGCCTGGTAGTAAACCATCTCTTTGTGGCAGTAGTCCCTTCAAAACTCCAAATATTCAGCTGTGTGCGTGCGTGTGCGCGTGCGCTTTTCCTTCTGACTAGTGGTTTGATTCCTTGCTGTATACCTGCTACACCATTAGTTATATTATATAATATATATTATATTATACTGAAAAAATAGACAAGCCGGTTTCGTTCTAGACACAATTGGGGATCCCAGGTTATGTTCCCGGGCAGGGCAGAAATCGTTGGTCACGTTTCCTTTCACCTCGTGCCTCTGTTCACCTAGCAGTGAATAGGTACCTGGGATTTAGGCAGCCGTTGTGGACTGGGGGGGGGGGTGCACCTCGAGTAGGTGAACACGCCTTAAATAAATGTAAATAATTGCAGCGCAAATGATGGGCAACTACGGACAGAGGTCCCTCCTGTCTGTCTGTCTCTGTCTGTGTTCCTCCCTCCCACACAGGAAGGGACACAGACAGGTAACCCAGACGCCATAAACTGATGACGATAAAGACAACAAATATATATATAGCCTATATTGTCAGCTCTTGAACGGCGAAGAGATTTATGGAATCAAATGTCGACCACGCGGAACTCAAAAGCCTGTGGGAAATTTTTACCCACCATATCTAATAATCATCTAAGAAATGTATAATTTCTATATCATATCTAAATCATATCAAAATCATATCTAAATTGTATCAAATCATATTAGAATCGTTAAAGATTCATTATAGCTTGATCCTGGATGACAATGGCACCATGAACACGTACGCAACAGGGGCCCTTTTGATGCCTACGTGACTTTGTACATGATCTTTCAAGGATCCAGAAGCTTCTAGAAGGACTTCTTAATTAAAAAACTATTGGAACATTGATTCAACATCCGGTAGGATTAAAAATCGAATCCTTAATAAGATTCAGTGGTACTTTCAAATACTACTTATAATCTTTAAATCTTATATCTAATTATATTATAATCACATCTTATTTCAATAATAAGTCTAGACTGTAAAAATAATCAATCAATATTCATTGAAGGCTACCGTGCTCAGAGAGCATGGCAGGGCGATGGGGGGCGAGAAGGGCCCACGACGATGCCTCGCGGCACTCCGCGTTTGTTTACAAATGAGTGAACAAGTGACTGATCCTTAGCGAACATTACCAGCTCAAGGACACCTTATCTAACATTTTTATCGCCAGTGAATACTCTCTAGAACTGGGGGAGTACCTGGACAATATCTACAAGGAAAATCATAGAACATTCATAAAATAAGAGTGTATAGTGGAGATCACGGTGACACGGTTTCCTCCATCTTCATTCTTTATCTTTATCATATCATTCTTCTGCAACGCAGTTAAAGAAAAATCACGTAGCAACGCTACCAGATCATCATACAGCAACGCTGTAGCAAAATATCGTGCCTAAACTCAACAAGAGAGAGTTAATCAGTCTGGCAAACTTGTCAGACAGGCACCCCGACTGGCAGAGAAGTATATTGAAGGTTATTTGGTGTATGATTGGCCAATTGTATGCTTGTGTAGCTTTAATATCCTATAAATCTGTCTGTTGGTTAAAAAGCGAGGCTAAGCCTCACAAATCGGTACGTTTATTAAAATTATAGTGTAGCTGTGAATCTTATCCAAGCACTGAACCTCATGAGTGTCCATTCTGTCAGAAAAGAATTCAGCCTCAATAAGTAAAAACCTCATAAGTGTCCATATTGTTGGAAAAGATTCAGTCAAGCTAACTGTATAAAGTGAATATGTCTGCATATATATTTGAATATATAAATTAAGTTATCAATTGCTTGCTTAGTTATTTTTAAGTTATCATATAAGTTCATTTAATTGAATATAATTTCTAGTACTTACTTAATAGTATAAAGACTACATTTAAAGTCATTTATTTATACTTTTACAATTTAATTTGTTGTTTATAGTATAAGTACATATTGGCTGTTAAGTTATGGTGCTAGGTTAGACTATGTATGTTTAAATCTCTGATTTAAACAGAGCCAGTGTTCAGTCAGATAACTGAATTTATTAAATCTTATCCTTGTATAAATACAAGCTGATGTGAGATCCCTGTCTACAGGTGGATTGGAACTTCTATCAACATAGTCATTCACCCCACCTGTCCCTTACAGCCCACAATCTGTCATTAGGAAAAGAGGAATTAGGATTTACAACCCTAGCTAGAGATTTTAGTTGAATTAATTTGCAGACAGTAATTTTTTAATTTAGTTCAGTACAAGTCCCTGGTAGTCTCCTCTTATATCAATCCCAGCAGGTTTTTCCCACATTAATGGTCCTTCGAACCTAGATATTAATTGGTCCTTTGTACCTAGATATTTATGATCATTCGTTTACCGAATATTTCAATGCCAAATACATAAGAAACTTCTTGATTTTGCATTGGAATAATTCTTACATATTCTAGCCTAGCCTAGCTATCAGCCAATATTTATCATAGCTATATATCTAAGTAAACAAATAGTTTGCAGTGGCTTAAGCCACCATATCCATTAACTAGTAAGCATTCATAACAATCTGATATTGTTTTGTGTTAAGAAACCACAGTACTTAATTATATCAGTGTCACAGACACAACTGCATCTTAATCATAAATATCAATTATCTACCTCATTGTGGTAACATTACATATATATTTAAGTGTATTATCTAGCATTATCTCTAATCTACTGATTTTCAGAGCTGCTCATTACATAATATTCTTTAAAAAAGTGTTATCATCACTGTAAGAGCATTCCTTACAATCTAACTATAATTAACTATATCATACCCTATTCCAGGTAAAACCAGTAGACATTCTACTGTATTTTATCTAACAACTATTATGGTAACAGATTTTGTAATAACTTTGCAAAAATAGTGCCATTTACTATTTTTAAAAAATTATTACAGGATTTACCAACTTGGTGCATTCGTGCATTCGGGTCACAAATCAAATTATTACAGTACTTTTGATAATTGAACACCTGCTACAACCAGATTCCAGGGAGGAAATGAAGGACGATCTTTGGAATCATTACCTAAGTAGACAGGAAAGCTCATTTATCAAAATACATTAACATCATACATATTTATCAGAAAAAAGAGAAAAATCTCGGAATCTCCAAAACTCGGAAAAGGTCAAAATGACTAACAGTATTCCACCAGCAGCTGAAACAGAAAAGAAAAGGACACAAAGTGTCTAAAAAATCACTTGAATCTACAGCCTACAGACCATTTAAATCAGGTGATAGACAAATGTCATCATCACTTGGCTACAATAGTCTACAATTGGGGATTGAGACCAATCTTAATCTCACATCACAATCTGAAAGGCTAACAACACATTGACAATGTGAATACAAATATTATCATCCATCTAAGATAACTATCTTAATCCAAGAATAAAGTCTTGATCACCTAATCTCATGCTTTCACTGGAGTGAATGCAGCCTCAGAAAATCTGAAGTTAATCAAGCATCTCAAAGAGACTTACTTAATAGAAAAGGCAAAGCCGAGAAAAAAAAGAAAAAGCAAAATGCTTCATCACATCATGAATAATGTAGATACACATTATTACAGATACAATTCATCCTTTAAGGAAATCCTTGGAGGAGTACAAGTGTTACATGCTTGTATAACCTACTTCCATGTAATTGCTTACCTACAAGTGTTACATACTTGTAACAACATCTTATCACAAAGCCAAATCTTTGATGGACTTCGAGCTTACGTACAAAGATTACGAAGCCGAGGAAAACTTAGATCTCAAGAAAAAATCCACAAAGGTGAATCCACGGACAAAAGCAAAATTGTCCAGAATGGCAGTCAAAAATCAAGGCAACAAAACTCTTCTGCAAAGTGGAAACAGAATAATGTTGGCTCTTATGCTATATCCCCCACAGTTAACAGAACTGTAGGAAACCAAGCTCCTAAGACAGATAAGACAAAAGGAGCTACAAGTGCCCCAAAATGTTTATTCTGTCAAGAAGCACATACCATTTATCAATGCACAGTTTATGTAGGCCGTGCCAGTCGAATCGATCGACTGAAATCTCTGAACAGGTGCATCCGTTGTCTACGGAAGCACGATACTAGTGAGTGTATCACTCAATTGCAGAACTGCCAATATTGTCATAAAAGTGTACATCACACAGCACTCTGTGGTGATATTAACACTCAATCCAGATCACAGACTTCCAATAATCAACCTGCATCTCAGGCAAAGCCCAAAGATGATAATACCACAACAGCCGTACAATTCTGTACAGTAATGAGCAATGTCAACGACTTGGATACAGAAATTGTTACAACAGCCATATTGCCTACTGCACAGCTAGAAC